TTTTCACTGCAAAATGAGCCGCGCGGAAGACCCAAAACGTCTGTGAATAATGATGACCTGAAGGCTCTAGTGGAAGCGGATCCAGCCGTATCCACGAGGGAACTTGCTATCAGGATGAAAGTTGACCATACAACGATATTGAGACACCAAATTGTACTCCCATCGCTTGTGAATCGGCATGGCCCGCTACTGCTCCATGACAACGCTCGGCCGCACACATCGCACAAAACAATTGCGAAACTGAACGAACTGGAATATGAAGTTTTGCAGCATCCACCATATTCACCGGATCTCTCGCCGACCGATTTTCATTTTTTCAAGCATTTAGAGCTGTTTTTAAGAGGCAAACACCATGAAAATGAAGACAGTCTAAAAAACTCGATATCAGAGTTTATTAATTCTAAAGACCAAAATTTTTTTAAGACAGGCATCTACGCTTTAAAATCTCGTTGGGAGAAGTGTATTGAAGCGAATGGAGCATACTTTGATTGAATAAACAGCTTTTGAAGAAAGATATACAGTTTTATACAATCACTTAAGAATCCGACATTTCATATGCACCAACCTAATACTTTGACGCTCTTAAGGATAGTTTGCGCCTATACATCAGTAAAATTCTATTTTGACAATACCACATTTGTTAACTTCTCTTTCGAACTTTTGATTCTACACAGAAAAAGAAAATGCTAAATTCAAGTAAATAATTACTTCAATACTCTTTAGTAAATTTTTACTCGGATCAAGTCATATTTTAACATTTTAATAAAGTATTTTCCAAATAAATTATCGAAGTAACATATTTACTTGATTCCGGATAAAATTTACCTTAATTCAAGTAAAAATTTGTTAACATTGTTTTAACTCCTACTGTGTTGTAGAATTAAAACTTTAACATAGGATCATAATTTCAACTTGGGGAGGAAGTAATACTAAAATTAATATTATAAAAGAGTTAAAAAAAGCGCGAGCATTGAAATAATATCGAAAGCTTCCTCCATATATAACAAGGCAATAATTAAGCAATTATATTCGCATGGATGATCTTGCGTTGGCTTTCATCGGTCTGTTAGCGTTTCTCGCGATTGGAAATTTAAGAGCCTTAGAATAACCGTTGGTCTCGATAAATTTTCCTCAACATCGACGATCCGCCGCTATTTGTCGTCGTCGTTTGCAAAATCACCGATGCGAGTTCCTTCGCAGTTCCTTTCCCCTCGGAGATTGTTGCCAACAGCGGTCGGATTTTTCGCGCGCAATATATTGAAATTCGGCGAAATGTCAGGATTACTGGTTTAGCGGAGTTACGCGGAAAATACCGATCGATCCGGGCCGCGTTCGATCGAGCTGCTAAATCGTCTGTGAAATTGGATCGGAAAACGGACGCGTGCGCGTACGCATTACAGCACCTGACGCGGCCCGACTCGGCATTTTCCGCGACCGGAACGAAATTGGTCCTTGCGGTTCCTCCGCTTTGGTGCACCGGGCATCTTGAGAATCCGACCCTGCCCTAATCGATCCCTGTTATATCGGCTGAAACTCGCCGTACCGTCGCGTCGGTTTTTGTCAATCCGATGGAACCAGTTGGGGTGCGGTGTTGTGCAACGCGCGGAGAGCACGCGCGCGCCACAGATTTCCGTCGCGTTCCACGTGTGTCGGAATTTCTTTTAACCAGTCGCGGTGAAACCGCAAATCGACGCGTAAACGGACGGATGTAGAATGCACTTATCTCGCCATAAATTGCTGCTAAAGTCCACCGAGTAATAGTGGAAACGCTCGTTTTCTCGGCGTGCTTGCGCGAAGATCTTGCGTCCTGTTAACGTGTAATACAATAAAGTATTCCAATGACGTGGATATCGCTTCTATTCGCCGCGGAGAGTGCTGCGTTTTCACGTAGGTTGGTAGGTTGTCCTATTTTTGCAGCCGACGTGATCCGCGTGATCGTGAGAGTCACGCTCTATCGCCCCTATGTATGTATATCGATTTTTTGCTGATTTGCAAGCGCGGATCGTAAATTACCAGCCAGATCATTTTATTTTCCGCGACACGTGGCACTTATAGACTACACGCCGCGCGGCACAAGCAGTAATTAGATTCCTCTTTTTCCCGGACGCGTGACCGTCGTGAAAACAACGCGTGATCATATGCAGATTTCAGCGAGCATCTTAATTATCGGCGCGCGATTTCCACTCGCTTATTCACGATGGTTCGGAGTGATTTGCAACGTGAGGAGCGCGACGTTTCTTCTTTTCGTTTTCGAAAAGCGAACACATCGAACGGCCGCGCTCCGCCCGCCAGACGCAATTGGCTCGTCATTACGTGTCGTCGGTAAAATGACTGATCCTCCGTATGGTGAAAGTCGCGAATATGGAGCGCAATTATAGTAAATACCTTGTTTATGGCATGAGCGTTATTTTCTGCATTCCGCGTTTTTCGAACAATTTTAAATCTGAATTTCAGATATCAAAGTAATTATCAATTAATACGTAAATCTATCACAACGCGCTATATAGAGTCACACGCCTGCATGCGTGAAAATGGCGCAAAATGCAAATTTCAATTAAATATAACTGATACCTGTCGACCCGCATTTTAATATAAATTGTGATAATTGTTAAAAATATCTCAAACGAAATGTCACCGAACGTTTAGAAACGTAACGATGGCCGATCGCCTGTTTGATCGCTTTTACGTCCAACTAATTTTCCGTTAATAATTAATAAATATCACAAATATTCAAAAAGAGACAAGTGAATAACTCGGTTCGCGCAACAAACAATATATTGATATTATTTCAATCAATAATTACCGATTATTTCTTTTATATGATGAAAAACATTTTTGCTCTTACCAAAAAAGTGACAAGACCGCACGCGGGGGTTTCTCACCACCTGTCTATAAAGAGCAATGAGTAATTTAATCGTTAGCTCATTTTCGATCTAGTTAAAGCTCAATTCGGCGAAAAGCTCATTTCCTCAGACAAGCTTCCAAAATCTGTCTGTTCAGAAACTCACGCAAATTCGATATCACATAAATCTGTTTAAATTTAATTCTCAAAAAACAATTATTATCTAATATATCTTCACACAAGGATATTATATTTCCAACTATAATCAGTAAGTCCGTTACTTTTGAAATAAAAGATTTGTTATTAGGAAAAAACCTGTTCATCTCGGGTTAAATCGTCTGACATTAAAAATCGGTGGCATCGCCGACAATCCCGGGTAACTGTTCGAAATTGAAACGTCTCCTCTGCTCCGTCGGCTAAACTCCATCTCGAGCGTGGCGCAACAAACGTCTTCATTGCGATCGTGATCGGTGGAAACTCGCGTGTAATTACGTTAAAGGTACGCGAGGCGTACGCGTTCGGCGTGACGCGAAACTTTCTCGCGTACAACGAACTTTCCGCGATAACCGATAAGTCCGGCAAGGTGAAAACAATTAGAATAAAATGCACGGAATCGGAGAACGAGGATCTCTTCTGACGAGCACATGTCGAAAGAAAATGCGTGGACGATGCAGAGGCGCGAACGCGTTTCAATGGATCTCGGAGAGTTACATCGCGGACGAAGAGGATAAACAGATTCCTGCTATGTAATATCATTGTGTTCATTTAATAATAATAATCTTTATTCACGGGATAATCTTTTAGCATACGTAATTAAGTGAATTATAACTAAGTGGAGTAGATTGTATCAATATTACTAAATTATATTACTGTAACTCGTAAACTTATTTTTATATTTTATACTTTATTTATTACTTTTATATATTTATATACTGTTTTTATTTTTATATTTTATTCACAAAATAATCTCAGCAAGTGTAAACTTTTTTGTATTTATCGTACCAAAGGAAAATTTTTCCCGTGATCTTAAATAAATAATAATAATAATAATGATAAATATCGCACAGATGGACAGATAACCAAATATATTAGGGAGAAGAGGGATTGTAAAAAAAAATAAAATAGATAAGTATATATGATTAAATAGAATAAATTATATATTTAATATATACGTTATAAGGATGCTTAAAAATGAAATACGAAATACACGAAATACGAAAAATATCTTTACCGTAAATAAATTTATCGAGATAGAAGTGAACATTTTATCGAAATCTTCTAAATTCAAGATAAGATAATGCGACGGCAACCGGATATACTTCTGCTGGGTTACACTTACTCGCTTGAGAAAACGATACACTTACTTTGTAAGCGGCAGAACGTTAAAAAAGACAATCCCGTTTATATGACATTGAGCAACAAGTAAGTTGGATTTATAAATCTTCGAGTGGCGTTAAACAACCAGCATAACACGGCGTTCATGCAAAAACAAGAAACGTTCCAGATCACGTATACGATCACGCCTTCGCCGCTCATAAATCTTCGGCGAAGGTGCACTAGAGTGTTTCAGTAAACATGACAACGGCCACGTCATCGTTTGAAGGTGACTGCGACGACAACCCCATGTAAGAACCCTTTCTTTTCCCGAGGAAAGGAAAAATTCAGAAAAATGTCGGAAAACCTCGCAGGTATCGAAACGATTTTACGAGCGGTGAGCCACCCGTGGGAACGTCGCCGCCGCTGTAAGAGATATCTACTCGACAGGCTGATTTGAATACCTTCGTAGTTTGGAAATTTTTCGGGCCGGCATTCACGCCGGGGCTCTTCGACAACCGGACTCGGACGGTTTTTTCATATCACATATCGGGTTGATCACGACCGGTGGGTCGCCCGGTCGGTCGCCAGGCAAGCGAGAGCTGCTGATACGAGAGGCTCGTCTCTGCAGCTCTCGGTGATAAATTCCCTGGATATAATGTGGAATTTCTAGCTCTCCGACTGGCTATCAGCCGGGCGTGTCTCTTAACGAAGTCGTGCCTACGATTACTCGCAGCCGATTGGCCAGCGGCTGTAAACATGTTTTTTGCATAATAACAATCTCGTCGTCATTGCGTAGCCTAAGGACAACCGCGGTTGTCCTCCTCTCCCGCCTTCCCCTACGTTCGTATAAAACGGGGGACAGAGCGGAGATCTCCGTATTTCGTGTCAGGAAAAGAAACGACGTGCCCCGAGCCACCGCCCCGCGTCATGAAAGACGAGCTCAAGGTAGCAGAGCTATTATCTCGTTCATTTTTACTATTTTTCTTTCTTTCTCGAAAGAAAGTAATCTCGAATCGCAACAATCTCTCGTGGAATCTCTCGGATTTCATGGGACGACGTGGTTGTTTCGTGAGCGCTTTCCGCAAGTAGCCTGAAAATTGTACGAAAGCGATGTCGTTTAGAACCCGAGGGTTCGTGCACTCGCGTTTCCAACGAGATAACGTCGGCTGTGAGAGCCGAGAAGAATTCGGAGAGCGCTCGAGATAATTTCACGTTGCGATTCGGCGCGCTGCATTCAAGATAGCGCAACGAAGGTGACACGCCCGTGTACATCGCGAAGTGACCGCGTGTTTTTTGTCAGTATCTCACGGGATTTGGTTGCGAGTTCTCCAGCGAGGATGAGCGCTGTCCAGGAGCATTGCCCGCCAGGCAGAACAATCCGCAGAAGTGCCCATATGGTCTTTACGCCGAGCAATTGTCGGGAACTGCGTTTACCGGTAAGTGGAATTTCGCGTGCGTTCTTGACACCTTCGAAATCATCCTCGGGTCGTGTCTCGAAAGTTACCTCGTGCTTCGAAAGAATTCTACGTTTCAAGTCACAACGTTCCAGTGTTAGTTTTCCGTATACTTTCGTCTCCAATTCACAAAATCAAAGAGTTGCACGTTGATACTTCCGACATTTTTCTCGAAAGTTTTTCGCACTCCGAAAGAACTCTACGTTTCAAATTACAATTTTCCGGCTTATTTCTTCCGTTCAAATATCAACGGGTTACACATGTTAAACGATTAAGGATATACTTCCGGAATATTTCTCGAAGTCTTTCTCATTCTCGCAGTATTTCACGCTTCGAAAGAATTCGTTTCAAATCACAACATTCCAGCTTAGCCTTCCGTATATCTTTAGCTTAAATTTAAATATTCAACAAGTTACACGTCGACTGATCGAAGATACGTTTCCGGAGTTTTTCTCGAAAGTTATTTTGCGTTCTGGAAAGATTCTATGTTTCAAATCATGAAATCTCAGCTTAGTTCTCCCTGTATCTTCGGTGCACACTTAAAAAATAAACGAGCTGCGCGTCGATCGATCAAAGATAAATTTTCGCAATGTTTCTCGAAAGCTATATCGCGCTCCGAAAAGATTATATATTTCAATTCCAGCTGAGTTTACTGTGAATCTGTAGCTTAAATTTTAAAATTCAACGAATTGTATACGTCGGTCGATCGAAGATACGCTTTCGGAATTTCTAAACGACGACGAGAAAACTCGTTCCGAGAGAGTTAAACTTGTTTTTCCCGGGTACGGCCAAAGTTCTATCGCTCGCTCGTGTCCTCTTCGTGCTTATCTCCCGACATATTTCGATAAACATAGTGCGGGAACGCTATTATAGCTGATCTATAATAATCTATAATAATCGCTGTTGATCTATCGTAATTCCATTATGATAGAATCACGACTACATCGACTACATCGAGTAAAAGCGAATTATCTCGATTTCGTTTTTCAGCTCCGCGTTTGGAAAACAGGAGATCGTGGTTCTACCGGATGAGACCGTCTGTTGTTCACAAGCCGTTCAAGTCTTTTATCAAAGCGCACAGCGCCGAGTCTCACTTAACCAACGATTGGAACAAAACTCATCCAAATCCTAATCAGGTAAATTCGTTCACCGCATTGTTAAATTCGAGGCTTCGGCGTCTGTAAAAACGGCTCGTGCACACATCTCTCGACGCTTCGATATTATATATTCCCGTCGAGAAACGAATCGACCTCTGTCGCGTTGAACCCTTCGATTCAACGGGGCTCATCAAATCCGCTCTCGCTCCTCAGCTAAGATGGAAGACATTCGACGTTCCCACTCGACGGGATCCCGAGGTCGACTTCGTCGAAGGCCTCCACACTCTGTGCGGTGCCGGCGACCCTAGAGTGCATCAAGGTGTCGCGGTGCACGTTTACCTCTGCAACGCATCGATGAAGGATAGGGCTTTTTACAATGCCGACGGGGACTTCCTCATCGGTAGGTAGCGGAGAGTTGGCGTTGTCATCGTCTTCTTTGAAGAAAGAAGGAAAATGTGAAACTTGTTGTTCGCGATTACAGTCCCGCAACTGGGCGCTCTGCAGATCACGACCGAGTTCGGTAAAATGCGATGCGAGCCGAACGAGATCTGCGTGATCCAGCAAGGCATGCGGTTCTCCGTCACCGTCTTCGGACCATCCAGGGGATATATCCTCGAGGTCTTCGACAATCACTTCCGGTTGCCGGAATTAGGGCCGATAGGTAATTCGTCGATCGGCCTCGATCGAACGATCGAGTGCTGCTTCGTTTCTCTTCTTTCAAATCTTGGGAAAATTTATGCACGGTAAAAGAGGGGTGCTAGATTCAAGCAAATAATTACTCCAATACTCCTTAATCCCTTGACATACAATGACGTCTGGGAAACGTCATTCATTTCATGTACCATTGTAGTGTTGTATTCAATTATTTCACTTGTGATTATTCAATTGTTTCACAAGCTTGCACATAACTGTTCATTGAGCAAAATTAAATAGTATTTTTCGGACGCATCAAATTCCGTTTTATTTTTATGTCAACGGGTTAATACATTTTTATTTGAATCAAGTAATACGTGATGTTACTAAGTAACATTACTAAGTAATATTTACTTGATAAAATGCAAATAAAATGTCTACGTGATCCAAATAAAATTTACTCAATCCAAGTAAAAATTTGCTAAAGAATATTGGAGTAATATTTACTAGCACTTATTTTTTCTGTATGCTAGTATCTCATCAACGCGTTAATGTTTTCACTTTATACATCGTTTTTATATTACTGTTGATGAATTAACCAGTTTTTCTCGTAAGTCTAAGCTGACAGTAAGTCGACGTTTCCTAAATGAACGACTTAATGAGCGAAGATCACGCGCAGGTGCGAACGGTCTGGCGAATCCGAGAGACTTCCAAACGCCAGTTGCATGGTACGAAGATCGTGAGATCGATTATGAGATCGTATGCAAATACCAGGGAAAGCTGTTTGCGGCTAGCCAAGGTCACAGTCCCTTCGACGTGGTCGCGTGGCACGGCAATTATGTGCCTTATAAGTACGATCTCGATAGGTTCATGGTCGTCAACTCCGTCTCCTTTGATCATTGCGTGAGTAAACCTTCTCGTTAGAACGACTAATCCGTCACTTATGGAAGAAATTTCCAGCGCCTCAATAGCATTCTCATTTTCCCCCTCGCTGATCCTCCTGAATATCCTCGTGACGCAGCCCCCCGGGGATTCTCTTTTTTCCGCGAGCGATCTCGATCTTACGAGTCATCCGAAAAGTTTCGAGTTTCACATTGGTGAAAGACCGATCGATCGATCGGTCGGTCTTCGTGATTCGTTTCCTGCCGAACAAAAGTAATTCGATAATCCGCGATCGGGACGGGAGAAGATCGCGTGTGGGGACTCCCGGCCGAGAGTCAACTTGCGCCGAGAGAGAGAAAGGTCGGTGAATTCGAGCGTGACGCTCTCGCGCTAAATGACTCAATTAATTCCGCAGGATCCGTCCATCTTCACCGTGCTAACGTGCCCCACTAACAAGACTGGCACTGCCGCGGCCGACTTTGTGATCTTTCCACCCCGATGGTCCGTGCAAGAGCACACTTTCCGACCCCCTTACTATCATCGTAAGTAGAAAGTATACTATATACGGCTTTATGGTCGCGGTTAATTATCTTATGTGGGCGCATGCTGATACCATGTGTCGGGGATCCCCGACAGCCACTGCTACTCTTGACGTGAATCTATTGTGTGAAAATTATCACGTATTATAATATCGCCACGATCTCGGTCAAGTTTCTAGATGCGAGATGCTGGTCTAAAGAAAAAGTACAGCTACAGACCGCGGAAATATTATAGTGAAATGACAAGTATTTGTACACACAGGGTGTCTCCCAGAATAATCGCATACGGAGTGCACCGGGAGATTTTTGGTACCAAACGAAGCGATTTTTAACGAAAAATAAAATAATATGCTTAAACGACACAGGGGCAATTTTTACATCAAGTATCATTTCAACGTTCAAAGAAATATTTCTATCTTCGAAAAAACCGATGGTATATTATTTATAACAAATATTCGAATGTTATTATATCAGAAATCTAATGTATATACTTCGAACATTTTCAAAGCCACATATATTTTTTGAATGACATTTTGTATACAAAAATATTTTGGATATCATTACGTTATTTCTTGTCATTCTCTCAGTGTGGCGTCGATAAGGAATTCTTTCATATCAAACAGGTTGTATTCGAAATAACGATAACCCAGACATTACGCATAGTTGCATAATATAATGTTTAGCAGGATAGGAAGAAAACAGTTTACATGACTCATGTGATATTTCCGTGATTCCACGCACAACCTAGTAAAGGTCAGCAAATCAACAATTTTAATAAATAGCTCTCAAACAATTTAAAAACTGTCATTCGAACGGGATTTTGGAAAAAAAAAAAGTGGTTCCGTTTGATACCGAGAATCTCCCGGTGTACTCCGCATGCCGTTACTCTGGGACACCCTGTATAATGTACAGCATCGGTACTCAGCCGTCAATCAGCGACGTATTTGTCGGACACGCTACGTTCCCGAGAAATTGCGAAACCTCCGGTCTTTTTTCCTCTCACCGGTCTCGGGGGGTCGATTATACACAGCTGGTTCGAGCGAGCGTTCCGTCTCGAACTTCGCAGTGGCGTCTTCGTTCCGGAAGAGCGCACTTGAAAATTGTGCAATCGAGCCGGCACGGAGAAAACTCGAAATTTTTCCCGCCGACCGGTCACAGCAATGTCTCTTTCACAGGTCGTTTCACCGATTTCCTACCTCGGTGACGATCCGATCGATTATGAGACATAGGACGGGCACTTTCGTTTGCGCTCGTCCATTTCGTCGTCGTGACGGTCGTGGTCTGTTGTGCCCGTCGTATTACGCGCTCTTGTTGGGAAAGTTCGTCGCGTGCGAGAGGAGAAAGACGCGCCGACACGATGCCTATCGACGAACGCATCCTTACGAGTTAAATAATTGGAAGCCACGAGAGGCGGCCACCGTCGCAGTTGCAGTCCTGAATGTCCCGTTGTGTAGAAATCGCACGCATGCGAAATTGCAGGATCGATCGGGGTAACTGTGACAGTCGGCTAAACGCGACATGACGCTGTACGACGTGTCGCCATACTTTCCGATCGTAAAATTAATACCGGCCGATCGAGAGATCGTTAAAAAAGGCCGTCGACGACTACTCGATATAGCCGCCGTAAATAAGCGGAGTTAATTACTACTTTTGTCGATAAATATTCAGACAGCGAGCGAAATCGCGAAGAGAGACTCTGCTGAATATTTATTCAACAATTCAAGATATTAGTGAAAATACGTGAAATTGGTAAATTTTATTACTAGAAATTACTTCACCGCGTGAGATATTAATATTCTGTTGTCGAAAGCGCAAATAATTAAAAAATCGCTGTTGGTTTTCCTCTATGCGCGGAATATTGACACCGAGTTTCTCTTAATCGCACTTAAAGTAACAGTAAAGCAATACTGATGCCTGAACCCATACCTAATACCTAACTCTGGACATTCTTATTTGTTTTGGTCTTTAAATATTTAAATTTTCAACTCATAAAATACACAAGGTATCTTGTGACTTTCCCAGATCTTGCGACTTTCATTTTATCAAGAAGTTTTCTGGGCAATTTGGAAATTATTTTTCCTCGGCAAAAATGTCGAGGCGAAGATTAAATCTATTTACTTATATGCGAATCGTCCTCTTGATACAAACTAAGTACATAATTTGTCGTGGAAGAAAGTCAACACATAAGTCAATACATAAAAATCAATATATAAAAAAAGAAAAAGAAAAAGAATTCATGAAGAGCTTGAATTTAAATATTTAATATTAGTAGTTTTAAAAGAGGCCGATAACATAAAATGAAAATCAATGATATCAGCGAAGTCATTTGCAAGCTGAGATAATCGATTCAAAAGTTTAAACCTTCCATATTCTGTACGATGCATTTCAACGTGAAAATATGAATGATTTCTAAGGTACCTACTTGTTATGTTGAATTTAACTAGTGCCAAATTGAATATTCGTACTTAGAAACAATAACAAGAATGCCTAGATTTAGGTACGTGCCCAGGCATTAACATTTTTACCTTGCATGTTATTTCTTCCTTTTGATATTTTATCTCTTTTCTTCCCCGTTTTTTTTTACAAAATAACATTGTTGCGTCGATCTCGTTTATACGAATTCACCTAGCCGATGAACAAAAGCGCGCGGCCCGCAACGCGTATCCCCGATAAAATTGCGTGAAATCGTTAAATATAATTACTAGAAATTACATCCCCACGCGAGATGATGATATTCGGTTGTTGAAAGCGCGCATAATTAAAAAAAAAATTCGCTATATCGATTCTCTCCTGCGCGCGAAGAATCGCCATCGAGTTTCACCTTGTCGCTTCCACGCGTTATTCGTTCCTTCGACTTCTCTCTATTTCTCCTCCATTTTCTTCGTTTCTCCCACAGAGAAGCATCGTCGTATGCGTCGATCTCGCTCTTACGAATCCACCTCACCGATAAATGAGACCGCGGCAACGCACAATGCGTATCTCGTCGAAATTAATCCGAACGCCAGTAAGAGTGGCCGCTCGCTCGCTCACTGCTTTCTCCGAGATTTGATAACCAGCGTAGAGCGGCGTACGTACACATCCAATGCCGGCCATTCTCCACGTTAATGAATAAGTCGGCGGCGCGCGGAGAGCGATAATATGCAAAACGCGTTCGCGGGATTTCCATTGCAGATCGCGGCGGCGCGTTTCGCGTTGCGAACCGATGACGCCCGCGAATCGGCCGCTTCTCGCGTCGACGATGGAAAACAACGTCCGCATTAGTCGGCGGCCGCGACCGCGACGTCGTTGACGAGTGTCTCGTTTGACGGCTGTCGACGCACGTCACGCATTTTGCGAGTATTTTCGTCGAATGCGTCGGTCATTAGCAGGATCGATTCGTCGCCGCGTTATTTATTTATCGGCGATCGTCCGCGCGATATGTTTGACTAAAGACCTCTCTCTTTCTCTCTCCGACGAATATTTCCGCAGGATTCATTTGCATTCAGCTACTGTATTAACGATTCGGTAGTGACGTCTTTCGAGCTACGGTTAGTTAAGCTAATTTATGCCAGAAAGTAACGCCTACCGCACGGCGATAATGAGCGTATAACGTGCCGGAATCTACGGGCACGTACTGTTACGGCGCGTTTCGGGCTCATTCCTGGTGTTTCTCCTCGCTTCTTATTCCGTATCTATGTGTATGTCATAATTTATGCTAATCCATGTTGTTTGTATTATTGATTAACCGTAAAGGTATTTGAAGGCATTATCTGCGTTTCAGCAGTGATCATTTATATCGGCTGTTATGTCATCGTCCTTTATTTTCGGCGAGCGGCCCCGAGTAAATTAGAAGTCGTCAGCTTTTAATAGTCAGGCACGCCCTGAAATTTCCCAAGTATAATTTTATAACACGTTGATTGGCACGGGGTTCTCGGTGAGCGGTGTTATAATACCGCCGCGTCTCGCTTGATTTATTATGTAATTATATACTAATAAATGCGAAACATAACCACTTATACGGAAAAAAAAGGATTAGTTTCAGTAACTAAGTTAGTTGTATCATATGGATATTTAAAACTTTATCAATTTTAATTACTAAAAGAAAAATTTTTTGCCGCAGCAGCAAACGTACTATCGTAAATGTTATTCAATTGCTTACGTTGCTAAAGTTTCCACATGTTACAACTAATGTAGCTACCGAAGCTAACTTTCCTTCCGTGTATAAGAAATTAGATATATAATCGATAATGAGACGAATGAACAAATATACGTATCGCAAATTGCATTTATCTATCGCATTTTTGGCGATTCAAGCTTGAGTCGAGCATTGAAATAATCGATGAAAATCAACGCGACAATCAACGTGTTAAAAGTGTCCCCTCCCCGGGAGAGAGAAAACGCAAAACAGACGCAGCGGATCTCGCTGTCTCCGATTCCCAGGCAATTGCATGAGCGAGTTCATGGGGCTGATAAAGGGCCGCTACGAGGCGAAGGAGGACGGCTTTCAGGCTGGAGGCGCGTCTCTGCATTCCATCATGAGCCCGCACGGGCCCGATGCGCGCTGCTTCGAGGCCGCGACTGAGGCCGAGCTGCTGCCGGAGAGAATCACCGACGGCACGCAGGCATTCATGTTCGAGAGCTCGTACGGTTTGGCCGTGACGGAGTGGGCCGAGAAGCTGTGCAACAAGCTGGACGACGAGTATTACGAATGCTGGCAGGACCTGCGGAAGCGCTTCGATCCGGCCGACAAGGCGGCCAAAGTCGCTCAGTAACAGAAAGGCGAGCAGCGTGTAGCGACCGGTCGTCGACGAGTTACGACATCGGCCTTTGATGGCTCGTTCTTTTCTCTCTCGCTTTTCTTCCCGGTGAATGTTAATCTTTCGTTGCACTGCGTCGAATCGACATCGACATTTCGTTCCAGTCGATTTTGTAAACCTATTTCTACACGTTAATGCTATACTCGATTTAACCATGTTATTGTAAATATGTTGCATGTGTACTGAAATATTGAACGATCAAACATGATCTACATTGTTGCGAGGAAACTAAATGTCTTCGAGTATCAAATTCTCCTATCGAATACAAAATGCATTCCCAACAAAAAAGTGTCGCAACCTTTTTGTGATTTATCATATTTTCAATTTTGATTTGCTACCTCATTTTTAAAAGCTAATAGCGGGTATATAACAATTGGATTATACACTTTAGAATAGACAGCGCCATCCATTCCGTCGTATTTGATACGTAATGGCTAGACGACCAGTTGGATCACAAAACCGATTATACATTTTAATGAATAATCAGCCAGTAACAAGCTATTAACGAGCTAGAAAATTTAACCTAGTCTGTATAAGTTAACTACTTGCTGGTGATTCAGGCCAATTAGATATGTTTCTCCTCGGCTACTTGTTTATTTTCTAAGAAGATATCTCGGAGATTCAATGGAAGTTTTAATATTTTAATATTAGAAATCACCCCTTTTTTCCTCACGTTTTCTCTTCATCAAAGGGTTCATTAGAGCCTCGTTCGCAAGGGAAATACTTTGTAACAGAAGCCGCGACAACCTCGCGGTTCATGAATAAAAACTTCGAGAAGCATTCGATGAAGATCGAAGGAGTGAAGCTACTCACCGGTATCTCCGATATCTGCGGATCGAGAGAGCAACATTATACCGCACTTCGCGAATTTTTCCTGCATCCGAGCGGCGAGAGACGCTTTCGTAGCGTGTCGCGCGCGCACGTCCGCGGGATATCGTGCGAAGAAACGATGAAGTTATCTGGTGCGTGCAGCTGAGCAGCTGGTTATAAATTCGCCGCATCGACAACATCGTCCGCACGAATATTGCTGCGCGCACGGGTGCAAGGAACTTTTAATCGGCATCCACCTCTTAGCGATAGAAGCGCGCCGGCTCTCGCGACCGACGTCATCGCGACTCGACGTTGGATAAGGACGCGCGGCGTATTACACGGTGCGTTGCGATAATACGCGGGGAGACGGCAACGGGAAATCTCTGAGCGTAAAATCTCAGCTGGGATCGATCAACAGCGATTCCAACAATCGAGCCGCCGAAGGAGATCCGCGATAGTTCCGCGACAACAGCGCGCCGTAGCGGCTTCCAGGGACGCGAACAAATGATTAAATCGTGTTGCAACGTCGTAAGTGTTTGTAAACGTTTGTAAACGCACTGTTCGCTACGAGAGAACAAATATCTCGTTTTATCGGAGGTCTGAGTTCGGACGAATGTTTATGAGATCGCGTAACCTTCCGTGACTCGCAAGGCGATTTTGTTATTTAAATAACCAGTACTTCTTCATGTCATATTCATTAACGTGGCTGCGCTGTATCTTATTTTCTGCGATCGAATTACGAGTCGAATCAAAAGTACCGTATTTTTCGTCCCCCTTCCCTCCATCCTGATCTCTTGCTCCCTGATATCTTGCAATCAATCTCAACGCGAGAACCCTATAATTACATCGTTGTTATTTCCACTCGACACTTTCCTACGCGATCTTATTGAAACCTCATCGAACCGATGCGTACTCCTTGCCAGTGAAATTGATTTTTTATTCGCACGCACATTACGAAGAAAAGCATTTGTCCGAGTCGAAATTTTATCTCTACGTTAAACCTTTAATTAAATATAAGAGATTAGGCGTAAGAGATTAGGAATAAGTTAAAACACAATAGAAAAAACAGAGAATAAATGAATGAGAACGTTTTAATTAGATTACCCTTTTTACTATTTTTTAACGAACCTCTATCATATCATACTTTTATCATTTCCTTCATAATTATCGATTGATTCAAACTGACTTTTATTTATATATCGTTGGCCATCGGATATTTTCAAGGTTAACTTTTAATCAACTGCTATAAGCTTTATAAGTAAATAAGTTAATAACGAATAGAATTGCGAGAATAAAGCTGAAGTATGATATATTGTCCATATGTCGAAATTGAATTCCTTATTCCTTTGCCTGAGCCCTAATTTGGGAGGAAGTATCGATAGGCGCGCTCCTCGCGTTTTCTCTTCACCTGCTCGGTCTCGCTGTAATTCGGCAAAGGCGACATTGTATCACCATCGATCCGCAAGGCAGGAATTCGCCTTGCCGACGGCGGTCTGCCCACGTGATACCTGTTGTCCCCAGCAGGGTCTTCGTGGTGCAAGACTGTCAGCAGTGTGCTCCGAGTCGCTGCGACAATAGTGCTCCTCAGCTCCACGTTGTATTGTGTCGTGTTCGACGTGCGTGCAGCCCGCAAATCGCGCGTCTTTCAGTGGTCTTGGAGCGCGGGGGAGATTCGGTGGACCCGCCTGCGATGTCCAGGTCGACGATGTGCGCCGCCTGCCGAATGTCACGTTCCGCGAAATAACGGGTAACCTAAAAATGCGCGAGGAGACGATCCGCCGCGTCCTCGCGTTCGTTCTGTGCCTCTTGGTCGGACGTGCCGCGGCTTTCTGTTTCCCGGACTTTTGTAAGAACCTGGTGAGTGGCTTTTCGTTCGTCCGTTCGTGGGTCGCTCCCAGGGAGCGCGTCCAGGCGTGCGATGGACCCTATCTCATCATCGTGATCGAAAAATCCGTCGAAGATGGATTCGGATCAGCCCTATCTCGATGCGAATTATCGCTCCGAGCCCGTTATCTTTGTCAATTTTTATCATTGAAGATTATATCGCTTTGTTTTCTACGTAGTGCTAAGCTGGGGATTGTTATTTCCGCACGTTCCCGCGGCTTCTTTGTGCGCAAAAAGAAAGATGGGAAAAGGCTCGGTTGATATTCAATCAATAGCGTAATGCGAGAGACCGATAAGAAATGACACACAGGTGCTGTGCGCAATATGATAATACAATTCGCGTACAATTCGGGTCGAAAGTTTCGCGATAATATGCGCAGATTACACATGAATCTGTTGTTCTTCGTATGACTAATGTTTTATATATATGTGTGAAGCTGTGCGTTTATCTATGATTTATCCGCGAGCGGTTGAACAATAAGAGGCGGTGTCGCTTACGCAAGCGTCGCGAGTGACCGATAAACAAATCTAAAGTTAAAATTAAAATTTTATCGATCACTCGAGATCATTCTCAACGTCGATCGACGCGATTAATTGCGAATGTCGTGCCGGATCGACGTAATATTCGTATCAGTGACAATTATATCCTCTTCTATTCTTGCTTTCTTCATTTTCTAGACTGAACTGGTGCCGACACCGGACTACCAATGTTTATTAACTTCAGTACGAAACGGAAAAGGTACGGAACGATAGTCGGTAAAACTTGACGGAGATCTCGCGAGTGAGACTCGTGAATGAGAGTTCCGTCCTTCGATTTTCCAGATTGCGCGAAGTTCAAGTTCGAGGACGCCGACGAGACGTCGTCCAAGCACGACGACACCGCAATTTTCACGCTGTCCGCGTACGTCGCGGACTTTGGGGGCTCCCAGAGAGCGACCGCCTTTAATTTATCCGTCTCAGACATCAACTTCCACAGTAAGCCCATATCAAATCGCATCGCGAAATTATCCGATTGAGCAAATCAAACACTTGATTGAAGGCTTTCTTCATTGATACATTCGCGTTGATTTCGTCACCAAATATAGAGTCATTCAATGAAATCAGAAATGTTCAATCATATGTATCGCACACGGATATTCGTTCATCATGATTGTTAATTATTCGAGTAAGTAATAATAGTATTATTATTATCGTTGTTGTTATTTTAAATATTATTCAGGCAGAGCGGCATTTGTATCGTAAAATTACATATATTTACTTACTAATTTATTTAACAATATTTACGGGAAAAATTACCCGTCCGGTACAATGCATTATTTCCGGCTTAGCAAACGACGTTTATAAAAGATAAAAGAAAAGGTAATTGTAAGCGACAGAAATTTCACAGATACAAGAATGCATAAAAACGTATTGTACAAAAGGAGGAAGTAATATGTGAAAATATTTCCTCGTATAATCAACGGTCATGATGTGTGAACATCCAAACACGATGCGTGTAGAATTGATAGATACTTGCCAGCAATCCTGTACGTAGCAAATGTCAAGAGATCATTCGCTGAATTGCGTATTAAAATGTCTATATGTAAAACAGGGTTATCGACGCGTTATCAGTACATCGTTGATGAAAACGAAAGTGTGAGCGCGTGCAGACATGTGGAGCTGTACGGTAACTCCAGTCACCCTGCGCCGAAACATCTGTTTGTGTCGTGTCCGTTCACCAACGACAGATACGAGGGCTTGCCGTACCGGCTGGAGTACGCCGTGGTCGGCGACGATTTCGCCTACAGCAGGAAATACATGTTCTACGTGCCGCAGCACAGACGCATCGGTGGGTCTAAGCGGATCGTCACGATTGCCGATTCTAGTCTCGCTAATCGTCCTCGGATCTTCCAGCGGACGGCCTCGCACTCCGCTCGTACACGCCTTTCATCTACGTGGACGTGTCGGACTCGTCGAACCTGGCGCTGCACGTGCAACCGCTCCCGCCGAAGTACAACGTCACGAGGTACCGGGTCTGGCTGACCCGCAACGAGACCGAGTCGGTGATCAGCGTGACCTTGCCCGCGAACGAAGACGGCGGGCATGTACGGTACAACTTCACCGCGCCCGACGGCGTGTACTTCGTCAAGGTGGCGGCCTTGCATCCCGACTGCGACGAACAGCACGGTTGCGTGAACAGCACGTCGCCGTATATACTAATAAGTAATTACCGTTCAATTCTTTCGTTTCGTCCGCACGGGAGAAAAAGTCAGTTCCTGCAACCGAATAAGGACCGGACGAAAGCTAGCTCGCGTGAATATTCAAACTGGGTTGAGAGCAACTGACTGAACAGAAACCTACGGGAATCTTTTTCGGAGAAAATTCAATTGCCGCAAAAATGATTTTTTCCGCCCGGATATGTACACGGGGAGAAGGAATTAGCTATTTATAATTGAAACTAAAATATAATTGAAACTTAGTTACCAGATCTAGTTTTTAGCTGTGGGAGCTATAGAGAAGTAAAAGAACGAGCGAAATTAATTAAACTTCAATTGCATTGTATTATATAGTTAATTTTTATCTCTGCGAGCTAGTTTTTATCTGTGAGAGCTACTTTTTTTTCGTGTAGGGGATGGGGTCAATAAGGGTAATAAGATTCGATTCTTGTGGCTGCTTTTCTTCCTTTTTCAACGTCGTCGTTCGATCTCTCATGTTTGCAGAACACGCGTCTGACCGATTACTGATCATGATAATCAGCATGATATGGATACCGCCCGTGCTGCTGTACGCGCTGTACCACGCATTTAAGCTCCACCGGAAGCGGGGTGAGACTCTTGTTTTCATTTTGTTGTTACCTCTTACGAGAGGTTCGCACCTCCGATAATGTAGTGCTCGCGGAAAGGAATTGTCGTACTTTTCAACACGGATCTTTCAATCAGTCCTGAGGGGAATATCGAGGAGGCCGAACTGCCTGTTGATTTACTCACCGACGCACGTGGCGCACGTGCAGGTGATGGAAGAACTAACCAAGTACCTACAGTGCTGCAACATCAACGCTATGATCGACATACTTAACATCCGCGACATCGCCAGCCAAGTGAGTAATCGATCGAACGACGAGTCGCGTTGTAAACGCGAAAACTACGCATTTCGTCGCGCGCTGTGGCCATTCGAGGGGATGATCGTGGAACTCTGTCGCAGGACCCGGGGATCTGGTGCAACATGGCGTTCCGAGCCGCGGACGTGGTGCTGGTCGCGACCTCGCCACCGTCCACGCCGTCCTCCTATCCGAACGTGTACCGCAACGTGGACAAACATCTGCTACGGTTGCTGAAGGAGAACTATCCGCAACGGAACAAGCGATACTACGCGCTGCATCTGCCGTACTGCGAGACGGACGATATACCGGAGGAGGCGCGCCTCTTCAAGATGTTCCGGGTGCCGCGCGACCTGCGGAAGCTCGTCAAAACGATCCACGGTATCGGTTGCCTGCGCTTCCGCTCGCCCCGCGACAACACCGGCATCCCGGAGATTCTGTACAGCATCCAGTTGGCGGCGGACATGCTGGTGAAAGAGCAGAACGTGAACGCGAAGAAGAAGGCCGAGGAGACTGGTAAGCGTTCCCTCGATGCCGAGATCGACGGGCCCCGTTCGGCCGGTTACACCGCGTTGCCGGCAGACGAGCTCCTGTCGTCGATCGTCGCGCCCGATCGAGCCGTCCTCGCGGGCGAGCCCGTGCACATCGACGAAGTTATACCGCAGTCTTTCGCGACGGACATCAACGAGCTGAACCTGCTCGGCGAGAACGAGGAGAAGGAGACCGCGCGGGGCGTCTACCCGGTTAGGAGCGACTGTGAGTTCCGCATCGATAGGTTGAACTTGTAAACTTCCTCTCTGTACATGTGTAAGCTCGTACCTCGTAAAACTTGTTTATCGCGATCGACTGTGTAGATTTAAGCGAAGTGAAACGACTCTTTTCCCGACTTTCTCTATTCATTCTGTGCGCCTCGCGCGCACGGTTTTTATATATCGACAGGTTATCCGCTCCTCGTATGTCTGAGTACTAATTGTCTCTCACGGAGAAAAGTTCTTTTCTTGGCACAGCAAATTGTTCCTTACTGTAGTGACAGATTTGTTCGAACAGCGAATATATCTCATATTGATTGCTAATAATGCCAGCGAAATTATTTGTTATCGCAATGACGCGTCTCGCCACAACAGCAAAGTTATCTGTTCCGTGTAACGAATCTTTTTGCTGTCACTATAGTAACAGACAGCTTTTGCTGTGTCAGCGAAGAATTTCCCTCCGCGTCTTAATTACACGACAGTTCGATAGATAAAGTTTGCGGAGAAATTTTTGAGGACACAAGAATAAATCTTGTTAAGTAAAGAAGGAAGAAAGACTTTTTTTTTTGTTACCTCAATATCAAACGATGTGACGCGACGGAAAATGGTATCTCGCCTTTTTGTTCGCCACATCGACAATTTTCACCTCGCACCACCGCCGTCGACGGTGGCGGCGACGTCGTTATAATGACGGAGACATAAGCGCCGCTGGAAAACAGGTAAGATCGATATAAGCTTCGTACACCATTGTGAAAGCGTTTTTATATGTAATTTCGTAATATATTAATTACAAGAAAAAATTCATATGGCACAATTATATATGTAGATTAACACACCGACTCGCAACGCGCGTTCGCATACGATATCGTCGCCATCAATCGGCGCGTTGGAGGGTAATAACGAAAGAAAGACAGAGAGAGAGAGAGAGAGAGGAAAGGAAAAAGAGAACACCGCAAACGTCGTGTCATAAAATAAAAAATCAGACGCGCGCTCGTCGTGCTCGCGCGACAAAACAGCTAGCCTAGTTTCTCTTTTGTGGAATGTTGCATTTATACATAAATACAAAAGGGGCGACTCCTTTCGTTCTCTCGGTGAGATACGGCGAAACACAGTCTTCGGATATGGTGAGCTCGCGCGACACGCGTCTCGTAAAAACGTCGCTGGTACTTCCGCTACACTCGCGCGTGCATCGCTTTGTGCGATCTGCTCTGTTGCGTCGGGCACACGAAAGCCACAAAAGCTAGTGCGACAATAAAAAGTATCTCGTTTCGAAGGAAGCGTGACGATTAAGTTTCAGATCCCGGTATGGCTGCGTGCAGAGTGTCTCGCTCGTCCAAGTGCGCCTAACCTCGCGCTCGCGAGCGTTCGTCAAGAAAAACTCAATGGAAGACCACGTGCATCTTCAATGCAGAAGTTTCGTGAGCATAAAGTATTGCGCCTCTCGTGGTTAATCGTAGCTCGAATCGAAATTTCCGATCAAAACCGCCGACAACGACGGAAAAACGAAGACGACATTCGGATAGTAGCTCGGGAGCATCCTGTACGTAGCGTTAAATGAACAAACTATTCTCGAACCTCATCACAGCTGCGTAATGTGACACACAGAAGACACTCAACGCCGATCGGGGAACTCGACGACTCTCCTGTGAGAAACCGCGCGAGTGATTTGTTTGCGATGCGTAACTATCGGCATTAAGTAGTAAAAGCGGCCTTACCACTGGTGATCGACAAACAGTCGTTTACAACTTTAAGTACATAAAAATAGGACAAATTATTTACTGACTTTTACTCGCTAATAATATAGCAACCGTTCTCCGCACGATACACAGTTTGTTCTCACGTCTCGGTAGATAGGGCGCTGCGTTCGGTCGTCTCGAGAATTCTTCGGGAATTCTTCCGGCAGTACTCGACTCCGTTGGAGCTGATGTTTGTCGCAGCAAATTCCTCGGTCGAATCGCGCTCCTTGCAAATTGCCATAAAAAATGGCAGTTTTCGTTTCACTCGAATCGCTCGTACATTTCTCCCTTGTGCTTCTTCTCCGTCGTTCAATAAATATGTCCTTCTTTCGCGTGATTCACGCGATCGCCGGTTACTCCTTCATCGGATTTCTTCGTCACTCGTCGTGTATCCGCTCGAAGAAATCGTGAATACGTCGAGATTGTCAGAAAATCGAGCCTGCCCTGATACGATTTTTTAAACTTCTCAGTTGTCGGACATCTAATGCACGAAACTGGGTCGCTCAATTCGTCACGTTATTGTCGCTTTTGTTGTCGTCCAAGCTCCCGAACACCAAGAGGTCCTCCGTCTCCGATTTCTTCCCTTGCATGTCGATGTAGGACTGAGGACGTTCCTGTTTGGTTATTCTCAGATCGTTCTCGCTGTTGCTAGTCACACTAGTATTCCTCAGCTTAATGGGACTCTCGTAATGATTAGTATTGAGGCTCGCGGGTCGATCGTTCACGTAGGACGACTTGACGGGTTCGTCGGGAAAGGAGGCTATGGACATCTGCCAGAGCGCCTGCAGCTTATCCACCTTGTCGCACTTGGTGACTGGTTCGGAGGACATCCTGCCAAGATAGTTGACGGTGTTCGTCTTCAGGTTGCTGACAGTCCCGTTGCCCACCTGATCGTCGTCGGAATCTGAAACGAGTTCGTCGGAAACTTTCAACCCGAAATCACACTACCTTAAATCGTTAGGCATTGCGATAATCAACGAGCGAAATTGGAAAAGCATAGCGACAGTTTGAGTTAATCGCGCGTTAAATGTACCGATGATTAATATCAACATATTGCGGGCGAATCAACGTTTTTAATTTTCAAGTTTGAAAGCTAGAACGTCGACTCGCGTCTTTAGGGAGACGTGGTATATTTGTAAATTTTGTTTGGTACAGAAAAATATTGTAGTAAAAATTGCCATAAAATTTTGCCATAATGGAATTATGACTGAAACTGTGATGTGTGCTGTAATCTTTAGTGACGCGTGTCATGTATGCACATCATTAAAAATTACAACACACATAATAGTTTCGATAATAATTCCGGTATAATTCAGCGTTACAAACTTTTATAAACATTTTCACTACAATATTTTCTCTGCCTACTTCTTCACAAAAAATATTAAAGTATTATTTATATATAATAATATATTATTTATATATAATAATATATTATTATATTATATAGTATATAGTATTATTTATATATAATAATATATTATTATATTATATTATTACATATTATTANATACTTTAATATTTTAATAATATGTAATAATATAATATAATAATATATTATTATATATAAATAATACTATATACTATATAATATAATAATATATTATTATATATAAATAATATATTATTATATATAAATAATACTTTAATATTTTTTGTGAAGAAGTAGGCAGAGAAAATATTGTAGTGAAAATGTTTATAAAAGTTTGTAACGCTGAATTATACCGGAATTATTATCGAAACTATTATGTGTGTTGTAATTTTTAATATTATATATATATATATATATATATATATAATATTATATATATTCAATAATAAATTTAATAATATTTATAATATTTTAACAGAATGTCAAAATAAAAACATTACTGCCGTGCTCGTGAATTGTATATGTGTGTGTTTTTCATTTTCGAGTAAAATATTACAGCTACATGTACGATTTACAATGTGTTAATTGGAGACGACATAAAACACGGAACGGTCGGGATTTAGAAGCCGGTAAATGAGCATCGTAACGTACGGAGCAGTCTCTGAGTTATTGAAGACATTAATCCGGGAGATACGATACGGAAGCGGAAATATCCCGAATCGATTCGTTCGACTCACCGTCCGTCCTGCCCAAGGAATGCAGGGACTCGAAGTAGGCCTGATTATGGACGGTTCGCGGATTAAGATCGAGATACTCGACGCCATCCTCCAGCATGCGCTCCCAATGGCAGGTCAGTTCCTTGAAAGACGGCCGCATGCCTGGCTCCAGGTGCCAACACGACATCATCAGCTTGTACCTGGAAAAAAAAGAGAAATAAAAATATCAAAGATATTTTTTTCCCGAAGTTGTAAAAACGGAAGATAACTTTGCGACTCTTCGCCTACGCGAGTAAAAATCTACTTTTTACGGCGAGTTTTACGAGCTTTACAAGCTGAGGAAGTTAACCTACTTGCAGCCTGGCTCTGTTCCAGGAGCAATTGTAATTGAAAAGACTGCACGGTCACGTTAGATTGCCTCCGATTATATCTCCGCGTAAATCACACTATTCTCTATCTCGTCGTGCTGTATGCCACACTAATTTGATGCTTAGTCGGCATTGTGATCCCATCTTCGCGAAGATGAATAATTTATTTTCTAAAGCAAACTCCGCTACTTATTACGGATTCTCTTTGCTAATAATTAACGGGGATCCCACATTAGTTTTGAATATATTATTGTGCGAGTTGGAGTCGAGTATCGCCTTAAACTTAATCAATGTGGCTTCGCTAATTAATAGACAAACCGACTCAGAGGAGATCGCATTTGAAAAGTCGTAAATTTTTCATTTTACTTTCAAAATTTCTCGTAAAATCTCACTCAGAACAAGTCAAAAGTAGTAATATTTTCATTCGACAATGAAAATATTGCCACTTGTAATTGTAAGAATGAATATTTCACTCAAGTCTAGATTCTAACTCCGTGCCAGGGTTGTGAATTCAATTAACGATTGAAATTAACAGATTTAATCAAAGCTCATTTGATTGATGATCGATATGAATAAATACAATCGAAAACTGTTCGGCGACGATTGATGTGACTGAATTCTATATGAAACTGTTCGATGACGATTCCTAGCCCACTGAACGAGAGGGATTCTGGAATGATTCCAGCGTACGAGAAAGTTATAAATTTAGCAAAAAAAAGAAAAAACGGAATTTGGCGGATTTTATCGCCCGTCACATCTCGTGAGAGAGCACAAGTCAAAATAAATTGAAATCAATCGTCACTTAAACGACTATTTTTTCACCAAATTTATAACTCTCGGATGCTGAGTCATTCTAGAATTCTTGTTCATAGTGGGCTTAACAATCGTCATCAAAGATCGTCATAGAAGTTTTAATCCTCTATGGACCCGTATAACTTTCAAGTCACATACTAATATACCGATATTTTATTACATAATTTAATTTTTTTGCACAAAGTGGCGTATACATCTTGTTATATAATGTCTTCTTAGTAACCAATAACATTCTTGGTAACGATTATCAGCTCTAACCTGAAATATCAAAGTAAATGCTTTTGCAAGTTGTGTGCAAATAGAAGCTAAAGAAACCATCTTGTGCAATTGTCATTATTGTTTCTTCTATCAGTATTTGTTAAACAGAAAAAAGCGTACACAATAGCTCTTGATTTGTATATCAATAATATCTTATTTGTTTTCATTTCAATAATTGTTTTGTTACTATTTTCATATGATGTAGCTTTGTGACTTTCAAGTCACAATGAGCTATAATGGTTCAGTGTACTTGTGATAACGCTTGTGTTTTCTTCCCTTTTTAGTTTTATATATCAGAGGCCTGAAACAAAATACAAAATCATATAAAAATAAAAAGGCAATAAGAATAAGAAGCATTAGCGGTAATAGATCCGAAGATTCTTTATTAGATTCTGACTCGGACAAAGATCACTCAATAGTATTTACCCGACGACGCATAAAACAAAATACAAAATCATATAAAAATAAAAGGGCAATAAGAATAAGAATCTTTAGCGGCAATAGTTCCGAAGATTCTTTATTAGATTCTGACTCAGGCAAAGATCACTCAATAGTATTTACCCGACGACACATAAATATTATTGACAGCGACGATGAATTTAGTGGTAAATCATCATCAGATGAGGAAAATTCAGAACCAAAAATAATTGTTTGCCAATCAGTATCCCACACAAGGTCCTTTGACCTAATTTCGAAAATTATTTGATGACGAAATTATAAGTAATATAGTTGACTACATCAATACATATGCACTGCCATGTGACCCAGCAAAACCCATAGGTGTCCATAGTTAAGCTTTTATACACACAAGCGCAAACGTTGTAAGCCGTTGTTACTTCAAAATTACAAAACGTATTTGTGCGCACGTGAACAAGAGTCTCTTGTGAGCGTAAAGTTCAATTCAAACTAACACAACGGCGCATTAACAATAACACAATGATTCTTCAATTTATTGCTTCCTTGAAGGGGCACAACACACGCGTGAGAGTTCCGCGACGCACTCACTCTCAGAAACGTTAACAAGAACTGAAAGTGTGAACGCAAATTCAATAACACTCGGTAAACTTTGTAAATACCGTACGCAGTTATTATAAAGAAGTATTTCAATGGATAAATTGCGATTGACGACGAGCAATCGACAACGCGTATAGCACGATCACGAGTACGTCCTGTCACAAGATATGCAGAAACGTACTGAATCGGGTTCAGAAGCTCCCGAGGATGTTTCGCTTTCTTTTTAATCTCGCGTTTCTAAGACACGAAAATATCAATACAATAAAAGGAAAAATAACGCGCGGGCCTAGCGACAGCCGACACGATGTTGTCAGCTAATCGCAGACAATCGCCTCTCGCGAGCGATAATATATCGCACGTATCACGGGTGTACCGTGTGGCTCGCAACTGTATTCGTTATAATAAAATCGTTGAAACTGCTGAATGCATTGTTAATGCTGTATTTATAGGTTGATATTTGTTGATGTTACGCTACATAAATTTTTTTATAGTCATGAAAAAAATCGACCCATAGAGGGTTAAATTTAATTCGATCATATCAATCGTCAGTCAAATAGATTTTAATTAAATTTGCTAACTTCACTCATTAATTAAACGATATTCAATTATTTTTGTTCATATCAATCGTCACACAATTAAACAATCTTTAATTAAATTTATTAAGATCATCAATTAAACGGTCTCTAAGTGAATTGGTTGAAATCAATCGTCAATTGAAAGACTTCTAATTGAATTCGTCGTAAATCAAACGTCAATTAATTTTATTAAATAACATTTTTATTCAAACTAATTATATTCAATTAAGAAAAATATAATTTTAATATTTTCAATTAATACTTTCAAACTTAATATTTAAAAAAATTTAATTAATATTTAATTGACATCCCTGCTCCTTGCGAGTGAATATTTTAGTCGATTAGAATGAATTTATCCCCATAACGGTAGAATATATCAGATTCACTCTTTAATTTCGACTAATAATTCATTCATCGATTTAGAGGGGAAAACACACTCTATATGAGTAAAAAAAGCATCATCATTTTACCGTTTGAGTTCACTCCAAGAAATTTAGGGAACAACGCAAAAGTAATCACGGAAGATAATTCTCAAAGGATCTATCTTTATGCGAAGGACAATTCGATAGAATGCGCGGATCCCTCGAAATAGCGACGGGCAAGTTTCGTCAGGGAATTGATGACACGATTGTTCTCGAGCACTTACAATTGCTGCGAACAGTTGACCGGCCTTTCCATACGATAGCCGGTCTTCAGGAGATTGTAGAGATTATGTACGTCTACTCCAGGATACGGCGAGGCTCCTAACGTGACCAACTCCCACAGGAGCACGCCAAAGCTCCAAACGTCCGATTTGCTGGTGTACACATGGTCGGCCAGGGATTCCGGTGCCATCCATTTTACAGGCACTGCGGACCAATCGTAAAACCACGGATAAAGCGGATGCTTCGAACCCGCACGAGTCATTAAAGATGTTTTTCTCGCCACTAGTCCTCGTTCGCGCGCGTGCGCGCGAGAGAGAAGGGCTGAGCGAGAGAATTACGAGCGGATTACTATATCATGGCTGAATTAAAGTCACCGGTATCAAACGCGCCGAGGGAACGTTAACTGCGACCTGCAATTTTCCTTAATCCTGACCCTTAAACCCGCGAGTTCCCGCGCTTTATCCTCGCGAAGCCGCTTTTGGCGTTGTCTGCAGATTTCTCCGGGAAATCGCGAACTTTATAGAGAGATGACGAGGACTAATTCGCGGCTGATCTTACCTCGCCCTTTACTCCTCTTCAAGTACGCGTCGTCCTCGTAAACATCGCGAGTCAGGCCGAAGTCCGAAATCTTGCAGACCTTCCCGGTGGCGAGCAAAACATTCCTCGCCGCGAGATCCCGGTGCACCAACTGCGGCAGCCGCATAGGAAACTTTGATTAATTGCGACCTACTCGAGCGAGTGGAGATATTTCGCGACTTCGGCATTCCCGAGGGATACGTAGCGGGATGCAGTCACGATTGCGTAGTCATAAACCACATTGACGAGGTTACCGAAGCTGGCTCGAATATCGACGGAATTTCTAATTACCGGCTCTTCTAAATGATACTGAGCTCGCTGGTTGATGTTTTAATTTGTTTTCACCAATTCCAATATTTTAAAACTTTTATTTCTGCTTTCTTCTGGTACTTTTTTCTTTAAGTATTTCAAGAGAAAGTAATGAAAATTCGCTGTTTAAAAATTCCGAGAGATTTTGATATCTTTTTCGACAAATGTCAAAATTCGAAAATCTTCAATTCCGATTTTTCCTAGTATTTTTAAGTATTTTGAGAGGAGATAATAAAAATTGGCTGCTAAAACCTAACGGAAGATTTGAATTTATCTTTTAATAAATTTTAGAAATTCCCCAAATTTTCATTACTGATATTATTCTCTTTCCTCTTTAAATATTTCGAGAGGAGGAGATAACGAAAACTCGCTGCTTAAAAATCCCGGCAGATATCTCGAGTTCCGGGGATACCTCCGGCAAAATTCCGTCGTACCTTAATATCGGCGAGGTACGCCATTCCTTTGCTGATTTGCCAAGCGAACGAGAGTATATCGTGCGGCGTTATAGTGTAGTTCGACGTATTATCAGCGCAGCGTGATTCCTCACCGATGTTGTTTGCCGGCGAAGCGGAAAGCAGAGACGAGCAGACGGTTCTTCCTTCCGTCTTCAGGTTCCGACTGCGTCTCAGATAGTTTCTGAAATTCCGCGCGGGATCGCGTAAGCATTGCGTGAATCGCGCACAATATCCGCAGCGACGTGGATAGTCGATAACCATTCGTTTTCCGAGAACGAGGTTCGGGCGCGAAAGTCACGTGTGCTCGTCGCGAAAAAATTTAATTACCGAGGGCTCGACTCGTACCGGGCAAAAACGAAGGCTCTCGCGAAGGTTATTGTGCCGGCAAACCGGCGAAATTCCGCGCCGGCGGAATTCCGCCGCGGCGCGCGCCATGCCGCTGAGTTATTTCCGCGTTCATAAGTCGGTCGCGCGTTCGTTGTCGCCATGTCGTTCATTTAGAAGCATCCGTATGTAGCGGCATCGTTGGCATAAATGGGCTAACATCGCGACCTCCTCCGGTGTCGCGGCGCGTACCTTCCCCGGGCCGCGATGAGACAATAAAAATACCGAGCTTGAATAGCCGCCGTGGCCCATCATTTACTCGTTCTTAGCGCTTACACTCGACGAAATTATTATTATCGCGGCGCTTCCAATTTAGCGTCGGGAAAACACGCGTCGCTCTATAACAGATTGTCGCGACGAAAGACGGGAATTTTATTAGGAGCTTGCAGAAGTTCGTCGGATTGTTGGCGATTTCATTACCTCGAAAGAGTTATAGTATAGACACGGAATCGAGCAATTAGTCGAAAGCTGGTAGATAACAATGATAGATATTTTGATCGAATATAATATATTCAATTAAACGTGAAATATACTGAAGAAAGCGATATTATGGCTCTTGTAAATATTATACTCCCTCATCCTTAATATCTCCGCTATTAAATGGCGAATTCTACTTACGAAATCATTTGTTCAATAGACCGCCGTGACGAAGTGAAGCTAATATGCCAATATATAATAACGCACTTTTAAGCATTTTGAAACGTTTTCAAAATAGATTTTAGCATGCAATTACACATACTTTCTTGTTCTTCTTAAACCCGGACTTATCATCACGCGAATATATATAGATTTGAGAGTTTTTTATCATTTAACAATTTATTCCGCTATACGCATTTCGAGTTATGCAAAGTTAAACAATAGAGCATGGCATTTTGTTAATTTTATCCCCCACCTAAAATAAATCTAACATGGTCTCTTTTTCAAGGTTCGTATCGAATTATTCGATAATTCAAGTTGAGCTCTTAAGTTGATTCGTTTTGTAGAAACTTTCCTTCTGACAGTTTGTATCTACTTTTTGATAAGCAAGTCAATAAATCTACATTAAATTACACAAAAATTTACGGTTATATTTATTGTTATTCCTTCTAAGAGATTTTTTTCGAATAAACATATAAATTTGTAACAAAACATTTTTTTTAACTGATATTTTAAATCTATTTTAGTAAGAAACCATACGTAGGTAGCTATTTATATTTCTGGCCTTGGTAGCAGTAAATGTTGCCAGGCGCCATCTGACGTTGTCATTGGAAACTTGACATTGTTGAACATAAGAATATAAGAACACATTGTCATTTGAGTGCGGTTTGTGTTGTTTACAGTGAATTGAAAAATTCATGTCGGGCAAAAAATGGAATTAACTCGTGAACATTTCCGTGCGATTATTTTTCATAACTTTCGACGTGGATTATCAAGACAAGAGTACATCGATGAACTTAATTCTTTATACAGCGAGAAAGCACCATCCTACAGCACTGTAAAAAACTGGTATAACGAATTCAATCGTGGCCGACGTTCGCTCCAGGACGAATTCCGTGAAGGTCGTCCAAAATCGGTTGTTGTGCCAGAAAATTTCTATACTGTGCGTGAACTGATAAAGCAAGATCGTCATGTGACATACCGTGAGATTGAGGCATCTTTGGGCATTAGTATGACAAGCATCAATAAGATATTGCATGAACATTTGTCCGTAAAAAAAATTTGTTCGCGTTGGATCCCGCATAATCTGACAAACGCTCAAAAGAAGACTCGTGTTGATTGGTGCAAGGAAATGTTGAAAAAATACGTTCAATCAAAGGCTGTGTATAACATCTACACAGGTGACGAATCATGGATCTATGCATATGAGCCCGAAACAAAACAGCAATCGACTGTATGGGTCTTCCAAGACGAGTCAAATCCAACAAAAGTTGTTCGCGGAAGAAGCACATCGAAGCAAATGGTTGCCTGTTTCTTCGGCACTACCGGTCACGTGGCGACAGTGGCGTTAGAGCACCGTAGGACGGTCAATTCTGAATGGTACACTACCATTTGTTTGCCAGAAGTCATCGGAGAAAATCGAGAAAAGCAGAAGAAGAGGCGAATCATTCTTCATCATGACAATGCGAGCTCTCGCACATCGGGTCAAACAAAGGAATTTTTGACCGGCCAAAACGTCGAATTGATGAGTCATCCGCCGTACAGCCCTGATTTGGCACCCAATGACTTTTTTTGTTCCCGTACATCAAAAATAAATTACGTGGTCAACGATTTTCGACACCCGAAGAAGCGGTTGATGCACTCAAAACGCATATTTTGCAGTTACCTCAATCGGAGTGGAAAAAGTGCTTCGAAAATTGGTTCAAACGCATGCAAAAGTGTATTGATCATCATGGAGAATATTTTGAAAAACAATAAAACCAATTTCGATCATAAATATTAGTTTTTTCATTATTAGGCCAGAAATATAAGTAGCAACCCTCGTATTACCACTCTTGTTCTTTTCCAATTCATTATGCAATGTCGCCATATTTTTATAAATAACGTTCAAAGTAATAAATATTTCATAACTTTTTCTAGAACCGATTGAACAATTTAACGAGTGTAATCGTTTCCAATTTGAAATATTGATTATTAACAAAGTTATTGTACAAAATGTATATGAAGACTATAATATTGCCTCCTCTATTGTTTCGTTACCGTATTAACACGCTGAATACTTTGATGGTTACCAGTGACTGGTATTATGATATTACCCATTAACATAAAGTATGATTAATTGCATTTGACAAAGTGTTAAGTTATATAGAGTATAATTAATTTCACCTGAAAAATCGGTCGTGCACGGCCAATAGAGAGCCAATGAAACGAGGTAAAAGATGTACTTGTCTCGAATTACATTTATTTACCGTATCTTTGGTAATGCAATCATTAATTAAACTTTCGTACAATAAATGGGCATCAACGTGACAGTCAACGCCTCAATAGAAGGAATGTCTCTGAAAATCCGACGAATTTTCGCAAATCCCTTACTATCGTCACGTTCACCATCGCGGAATTCGGAAGCAATTCCGGCGGACATGACGCATGACTCGCGTGGATTCGCGTCGAGCCGGCGTGGGACTTGCAGCCATCGATAAGGCCGGAAAGCTCGTGAAACCGAAGGGTCATAAATAACGCGGGATATCGTCCGCTTGAACGCCTATATATAGATGTATATATCACAGCACCCACTTACCGTAAGGAACCGAATTCGGCGAATTCGATGATGAGGTATACCGGTGCGCCCGGAGTCGTACAAGCGCCCAGCAGCCGGATCACGTTCGGATGCTGCGCCTCCTTCAGCAGCTGGTACTCGGACAGTAGATCGGCCAGCTCGGAGGCGCACGCGTCCTCCTTCAGGGTCTTCACCGCCACGGTTGTCGGCCCGGGCCATCCACCGATGTCGATGGCCTTGGCGCGCAGAACGCGCCCGAACTCACCTTCGCCCAGCACTTGCTCGATGGTCAGACGCGATCGTGGAAACTCCCATTTCGGATCCAGCTGAGGAGAGATTTCGGGCATCGGGGCTTAGACGTCTCGATCATTCATTTCGCCGGATTCTCGCGTAAACTCGCTTTGACTTGTGAATAATGAATTTACTCCCGATTTAATTTCTCGCGAGGTGTTAAGTCTTTAATTTTGCAACTACATCAACAAACTCTTGCGTCGGACCCACTTTTATTTGCGTCTAACTAAAAATTTACGAGCCTGTTTTGATAGTTCATTTTTAATAACGATTATCTTTATTCTTGACCTGGCTTATGGATAATCGATTCGTTAGTTCGATTTAATTTCTCGTCGAAAAGAAAATTTCGGACGATTTAGTTCTCAATTTTATAATTATATTGACATTTAGACTTTGTCGACCCACTTTTATTTACGTCCAATTAAGAATTTACGAGCCTACTTTGATAGTTCATTTTTAATCATGATTATTTTTGTTCTTGATTTAGCTTATGGATAATCGATTCGTTCTCGATTTAATTTCTCGCGGGAAAGAAAATCTCGAGTAATTCAGTTCTCATAATCATATTGACATTTAGATTCTTGGTGACCCACTTTTATTTATGTTTAACTAAAGATTTACGAGTTTTTGATAGTTCGATTTTTAATAATATTTATTTTGGTCCTTGACTTGGCTGATGGATAATCGATTCGCTTTCGACTCTATTTCTCGTCAAAAAGAGACTTTCGGACGTCGCAAGGAGAGGGGAAATGTTGGAATCTTAATTTTATAACCATATCGACGTTTTTTTCTTATTGACCCATTTTCTTATGTTGTGTTAAAAATTTGCGTATCCACTTTCATAATTGATTTTGTCCTCGATTTTTAAATTTTGTTTTCTTTGCAAATCTCCCGCTGTAAAATACATCACCTCGTTTGAAACAACATCTCGTTTAATTTTCACTCCCAGTTGCAATTCTCTCACGGGTTCTTCCTTCCCCTTCACATGAGGCGCAAAGAACGACTTGGAAGATACAGCGCGAAAGGCGGCGTGTCGATTAATAAATCCTTCCGTGCTAGTTACGATAAAAGCTTCTCGTTCCCGCCTCGCCGGGACGTGTTTCCGGGTTCGGGTAACGTAAACGTGCAGAAGATATCCGCTGTTCGTGTGTACTTCGTACGAGTTGCTTTGCGACGGACACCGCCCGGATATCCAATTAAACCGATGCTTCGGGAATGATAATGGCATCACGTAGATAATGAGAGATTCCGTCGCGGATTAGTATTCGTGTGACTCGCGCCCGATGAGAATCTCGCGCAACAAGATGCCGAATCCCGGAAATTTCGCGGTCCGGTCCCGTTAATTTATTTCCGGAAGATCCTCCGTGCTCGGCGAATCATTAACGGAGATTGCGGCCGAGCTGAAATTCGCGAATACCTGCGAGGAAACCATTCGTCTCGTGATCGATAAAAATGTATTTCGGTTGCGTTCCGCAGAGAGACGACATCGGGGGGGGGAGAGGCGCGAGCAAGCCCGGACTCTTTCGCACGGGGAGCATCTTTTGAAGCGGCACTACCGATACATGAATTTTCCAACACCGCGAATGTCAACCTGCGAAAGTGGCATCATCGCGTCTCGACACCTTGCTATTTCCTCTCGAGAGCGCCGGAGTCTCTCGAGGATTGTTCGTTTTTCTCCTCTCTTCTCCTTTCATTCGCCGTGACGACGAGAACGTGTTCCCCGCAAAATAACGTTATTATTTCAGCGCGAGCCTCCTTCCGACCTACCCGGCGATTTCGAGCAACGTTGTTGTCGGCCGAAGCGAGGCGGATTAATCGCGCTGGCGCGATTACGTTCTCGGCGCACACCGGTCTTCGGCGCCGAGTGCGATAACGAAATTTGTCGGACGCGAAAGATGTGTGACACATGTGCGCGCACGCCACGCGTCACGAAAGGGTTTACGTGGCCCATAAACCCACTGCTGTTCACTGAACTGCACGCCATGCTGAAGTTACGTTCGTATCAACGTCGAATAAAAGCGACGACTTTATCTCGCCGGGTGTCGCCTCGAGAGTAGCAACCCTTCGCGAAGAATAGAAATATTGCGCGCGCGAACGGGCGCCTGTGCCTTCTCTACCTATAGACATTTCGTTCCATTCGTCTTTTTATCGGCGCATCCTTTCATTCGATTGTGAGAGCTTCGGGCGAGAGAGCTGCAACGGAATGCGCCTCTTCTGGTGCCCCGGCGAAGGAATGGTCGGTGCGAAAGAACGTCGTCTTCTTAGCTCAAGATTCGAATCGAGAGGTATTAATGTTCTCTAACAACACCGAGAAAAATCGTATTTATAATTATCGCCCAAGTGACAGAATCAGAAGAGCCATTTAGTAAATGTTTTACTATAGTCAATAATAATTATCAACTGGCATTTATATCACATTCTTTTGCTTATTTCAGTGATGATAATAAAAAAAAAAAGATTTCATTTGTTTCGGTCCATTGCTTTCGATTTTTCAAAAAGTTAGTTTTCTCATTGACTGCCTTATGACAGCCCGAATTATTCCGTCCTCAGCGATCGTTTAACTGTGAAGTCTTCGTATTCGAAGAGTTAATCCAATTCCCGATTTGATATTGAATACAGATTTTGTCACAATCAGATTTTATCGATACGCTTGCTCTCTGCTTTTGTCGTCGGACAGAAATAATTCAAAAGTCCTTTCGACCTGAAAAGATCCTTCCTAGTTTATCGAGATTTTACGGAATAATGCATTAAGCACGGCGACGAGCTCTTAATTTTCAAAAGCTCCGACGGAATTTCGCGAAGTTCCGTCGGAGGTTTCCGTGAAAAATTCTGGCGACTTTCACAATTCCGGACGCCGCTTAATTACGTCGAATAGTTTCGAGAACTGTTTGGGGGGATGCGGCAGATACTGGGATGGGGCTTTAATTTTGGCGTAACTCTCGACAAATACGAGCGACGCTCGCGAAAAAGTTTCCCTAATCGTGGGTGAGATCGGCGGCGCCGTCGGAGGCTTCTTTGCATATTCGCTCGCTGTAAATTACAGGCTCCTGCGCGCAACGGAGGTCGTTATTCACCGCAAGGTGCAGCGCGAGAGAGGTGCGCGCGAGCACCGGTAAAATACACGATCGTCTGCGAGGTATCGGGAATCGGAATCGGGCAAGCACGAGGAATGACGAGGATGCGAAACGATGACGAGCTCCTTCCGCTTCCGTGAAGCGATAAAACTTCCTCGACTGAGACGGCATTCACTCTCCGCGTCGACCTTCAACGCGTTGACGTAATTTGCAAGATTCACGAATTTACATTCTCCTCAAGCGTTTTCCACAGACCCTCTTCCCGAAATCCCGACAATTTTTATGATCTTCTAAATTTCCAGGGTCGCGCGACTTTCGAAATAGTCGAACTCGAACTTTAGATTAAATCCATTCCGGCAGCCTCTGCTCACCTCATCGTTGTCGCATCATCAGCTGTTATACACACGGTGCTCCTGGGAAGACCGTCGTCCGTTATGTGGAATCGCGTTCTCGCCGAGTTTGACGCGTTTCCCGAGAGATTAGCGAGCATTAGATTGCAGCGAGATACGCGTTAGCTCGCGACGTCATCGTTAGACAAATATTCCGGATGAACTTGGAGACTACGAGAGACTTGGCCGAGTTTCCTCGCCCGGGCCTCGGATTCCGGGAAGCAACCCTTGTGCTTTCACGTCTCTCTCTCTCCCTTTCTCCGTGTTTTCCGCACGGAGGGAGCTTACGCGCTTTAGCACACCGTGGCCTCAGGATTATGCGGCCGCACGCTAACACGCGAGCACGCACGTACGGTACGTGCGGGAAAGGTGACCGGAGACGGAGAAAGGTCCGCGGAACTGGTGGCACAGGTGCGGAACAAAGGCCGTGTTCAGGAATTATTCTATGGGAGGGGAATTTATTGTGGAAATAAATAAAGATGGCGGGGATTTATTTCTTTAATAATATCCTCGTCCGTGAAGAATTCGCGAGAACGGAATGCTTTCGCTCAACGGTGCAATGAATCGGTTTTCTTAGAGGCAGGAAAATGGAGGAAAATAAGCGAAGAGGAATGAATCAGAGAAAATCTTATTCTTTTAATGAATATATGAACGAATTTTAACGACGTAAAGCATGTACTTCTCAGCTGCACCTTTTTATGCTGCTCGCATTTTAAACGAAACGAACGTATTTATGGCGGCAAAAAGAGAGGAAAGAGTGGAATTGCAGGAAACCGTAGAGGGAAATATGTTTTTTGCAAATGCATGAGGAATATTAAGATAATATTTTACTTTTGTATTTTGATTTCTCGCCATGCGCGAATCAAGGCGTCAGACTCAGTCGCGATTACAAGATTAAAAATAATCCACCAGCACGAAGAACACGCATAGATAATCCGCATTAAGTGCGGCCCGCGGAATAATTTTATTACTATTATTAGAGTTGCGTTACACACGGAACGCTCTTTCTTGTCTTGTATACATCATACGCGCTGGCAAGTCTCAAATCTGCAGCGGTTAGATAGCATCGACTTAAGTGTTACCTCGATGCCGAAGTAATAAGAAAGTTTCCGCAATCTCGCGGGCAACGTACTAAATAGCGATGTACGAATCACTTACCGTGTTTAGAGCTGGCAGTCGAGTTTTTAATTGCGGTGCGAGAACCGGGCGATATTAAATCGTGATATGCTGCCTCATCGTGCCAAATCTTTCAATTTTTAACACGTTTACCACCAGGGTTTATTCACGGAATTCTCCCCGCAGACTACATTGTATTTATTTTTATGTAATAATTTACGTAATAAATTTTTGTGTAAAACAACTCGATTTGTTTATATTAATATAGAAAGAGAAATTATCGCTGTAAAACGTGTGAAACGCTGGTACACAGAAAAAAACTTTTACGTTAAAAACAGCCCACTGAAATTTTATATTACTTTAACACGGGGAATGTGTTAAAAAGTACCCAAATTTATTGTTAAATAAACATATTTATCTTGTTAACATATGTTCTCCGTATTAAAGTAATACAAAATTTCAGTGGACTGTTTTTCCAAACCAAATTTTTTACTGTGTAGCGAACGTGTTAAATAGAATGGAAAATTTGGAACAAAAATGAGCTTGAAATGATAGGTGAGCTCGTCATACACACGCGACAATGGTAACGTTAATTGATCTAGCGGTAATTAATTAATTGACTCACCGGACACGTCTTGGGCAGCAACAGATGACGATTTGCCGCCGTGAAGGTGTCTAGACCGATCAGGAGACCATCACCGCGATCGATGTAGTCGGACGGTAGAATACCAATACCATTCGCCGCATCGCCCACCCTGTGTTTGCATTCCCGTCGTGCGCCCTTCGTCGCCCTCCTGGAACGTGGAGAATCGCGATGCAGAAGATGAGCTACGTTAACCCGCTCAGCCATCTTGGTTTATGGAGCGGAATAGCTTAATAGCTTCGAGATCAACAGTGCCATCCTTTATTACGATGGTCGTAAATTAATCCCCGTGAATTCTCTGCGAAAGTAATCGTCAATGCGACAGAATAATTTCGCTTAACTTTAGCGAATAAGCTTTCGCGTCGATTTTACCGCGGGATTTGACAAATAAGGACGGAGTTGCGAAAAGGACCGCAAAATGAGATATATTTGAGTTCCTGTCCTCTCCCGATTGAATGACTCCGGGATTTATTAATGTAGCTCGGCAGTGTAACTCGATGCAATGGTTAATCCAACGCGGTCACCAGTTACTTTCGCAGAGTAATTCCGGCAGATATTGACCTAAATTCGAAAGTTTGGGTGGCTCGCAGGCTTGCGAGAGCTCGAGCGGTAAATACGAGTGCGCTTACTCTCTCGCGATTTCTCTCGCCGAATTAGCAAAAGTTTGTTTAAAAGCCTAATAATTAACTTTCAGTTACGCAAAAATCCCGAGTTTGTCAATTTGATGACTATTTTTACCACGACTCTCTACGCAATTTGTTCAGTGGAAAATTGCAATACGTAAAAGATTATGAAGTTATAACCCAGCATAACCTGGCGACACATATCGGAAGGTTTAGGAAAGAAGTAAAAGTAGAAGAAGAGAAACCAACTGATTGTAAGCGGCGAACGTAAAGGGGAGATGTTACAGTTACAACATTGCTGAAACTTCCGCAATTCCATTCTCTGCGAAAGCTTTCGCCGACGAGTCGGACTTTAATCCGTTGTGAGTGAAAGTAACATATTCTTACGTTTACGAGATCGGTCTTGCGAGAAATCCTCTTGATTCTTTCAATTTTATATCTTTATTACGAGGTTTTTAGGGAATTTGTCATAGAACCACGAATTGTGGAAATATGCGTCGAATATCTCGTTACATTGTAGAAAATCTTCGAACTTTCCATTTTCTGGCAAGTTGCCGTTAAATAAATTACGCACAAAATCCTGTTTAACCGCAAACTTCGCAACGCCCTTAAATCCTAGTAAACATGGGGCTCGAGCCGATAAGCTCTGCATAAGCTGCTGGTCCGGAACTGATAGTTCGGTAAATCCTTTTAAGACCCGTCCGAACCGAAAGACTTCCAACACGACACCCCGTCACGATATCATCCCGGTATTGTTACATCGATCTTACGTGTTGTGACACGATTAGTTCCTTCTAAATGAACTCCAACGTCTCTCTTACTATCGAGAATTAATTAATCAATAGCCTCGAGAGACTCGCTCGAAAGCTTATCGACGGCGCGTCGCGCAAAATTATAAAGTCGTATTGAGAAGCGACATCGTTCCACTATCCCGTATTATTGAGTCGTTCGACAAGTTCGCAGAGATTTTTTGCAAAGAACTCAAGTCCGATACTTTTATAGTCAGGAAATAACTTTATTCAATAATGTATTGATAATTTTTTTTGATGGCAGAAAGTCATCGATAAAAATGAAAAAATTTATTTACTTATGGGAAAAACTATTGAGCTAAAAAAATGGAAATATTGGCTTTGAATTTCTCGTAAAAATCCGTACGAACCTATCGAGCAATCCTATAAATTAATCTATCTTGTACGAGTAAATTTGGATTTCTCACCTGTACCGCCACATGACGAACGACCCGACGATTACAATCAACACAAATAGACTGGCCCCGATGACACCCATCATACATGTAGGACCACACGGGTTACTGGACGCTACAAAATGAGAAAAAAGGGAAAACAAACGTTAATAACGAAAACGAGCGCACGAAGATGACACGACGGAGATTAAGTACGCAACACATAGCGAGCTTCGCGCGGGAGCGAGACGACTGGAGAAGGAGGTGGGAGGGTGGCGGGGCCAGCGAAGTAAAGGAAAGCACGTAGTGCGGCAACATACCTTTGCGCGCGCCCAGCACGGCGACTTCGTTTTCGCGATCGCGTAATTTTCCGGCGCCCAGTCGCTTCTCTTTAACGCCGGGGACGTTGTTCACGTGGCGAAAGGCGTCGGGTCCGCAGATGCACTTGAGCAGATCGCTACAGGAGCAAGTACCCAAGCCGCTCTTTATGCCGTAGCCGCCTACATTGGTGTGTGCGAAGTGCACGTCGGCTGAAAAATAAGTACACGCCGGCTCGATACGCGGGATACATCTTACAAAGAGGAGAGGGTAATAATCTCGCCTCGGTGGCCCTTAATGCCCTTTTCGATCGGACGCGATCGCAACGACGCTAACGCGTAATCCTTTTAAAATGAAGACTTTGCGTACGAAAGAGAGGAATCGAGCATCTTTTCGTGACAAACTTTAGGAACTGAGCTCTTAAAGGGAAAGGGCTTTTTCCTCGACAAGTCTGCGATCGCGCTGGGTTGTAGGCAACTCTCGATGTTGTCTCTAACCTTTTGCACTCTAAGAGTAACATAGCAGCGTCAGCCAAAATTTCTTATACAACTCAAAAAGCGGCAGCGTCTTTTGAGTTTTAAATCAAGGTTTATTCATGAGTCCTCTAGCGTGGACTCGTGAAAAATAAAGATTTCCTAACTGCAAAATATTTGAAAATATTCACGAATTTGTAATGTAGAAAAAACTCACGGTCGCCTTCCAGTTGTGAAATTAATGACAGCTCTAGTCCAGATTTAAATAATAAAATCTCAAAAAAGAGATATTGTAATAAAAATTACTATGAAAATTTATAACACTGGAATATACTGGAATTATTACCAAAATTATCATATGTGTTATAATTTTTAGTGACATATTCACGTGTTCGCATCACTAAAGATTATAACACACATAGTAATTTCGATAATAATTCCAATATATTCCAGCATTACAAACTTTTGTAATACTTTTGTATACTATAATACTTTTTCCAGAGATCTTCACGGCTTTTTTCGGGTTTTATAAAAAGTGTTGGACAAAATTTCGTCGCTATGGCGCCTTTGGAGCGTAAAGGATTGATATTTCAACTTTGAAAAAAGAAACATTAAAAAGAAATTAGTTTCTTTCATGCTTCTCAACGATCGCTTGAAACGTTTCGTTACTCGACGATTTATTCGTTGCGACGCTGTTAACGACGCGATGTAATGCAGTGATTCTCCGCCACGGTATCGCCGAAACACAATGTCGACAACGTCGGATTTGCCCGCGTTAACCCGATGGACGAGCCGATACGCCCGATGCAACTCACATTCAACGACGCAATCCTGCGGGCATATGCGCGGATCGCTGCTCTCCAGCTCGTCGCACTCGTTGTTGGGACAGTAAGCGAGGTTCGGCGAGCAGGTGGAATAATACTCCGACATCGGAGAGACAACGGTGCCGTTGTTGCCATCACCGCCCCTCCAAACGCATCGACCGACGAAGCTGCCGTTGCTGCATAAATACATTGCTACAGAGCTCCTTGCTCCGCCGTCATAACGAAGGGCAGAGAAAGGAAGAACGGGGGGCATAAGGATGCAACTTGTCAATTACCGTCTTTTACCTCGCAAGAGGATCGTTATCGGTCGGAAAGATAGTTTGAAAGAGAGGGAGGCAGGGAGAGCGAATCGAGTGGAACCTAATGGAGCAGCCGTAAACCTGGACGAGCTACCAGTCCGAAATAGTCGTTACGATGGAATTGAGTTTCATGGAGACACGGCCGCTACCGGGAAGGAAAACGGCAAAGTAACAATGCAGCCTCTTCTTTTGTTCTATTGTAGAAAATCATCAACGATTCTGAGGCGCACGCAATGGCCAGGAGATGGTCGATATCGAGAAGAGTTCGCGCGAGAAGTTTGCGCGAGATGTCGGCGGACAGGCGCGATTTCTTTTAACAACTTCCGTACGGATTTCGCGTAGCAAATGGAAAAACCATTAGATCGCAAATGACCTTAATTCATTTTTACGTTTTCCCCGCGAGCAACGTCGCTCTCTCTCTCTCTCTCTTTCTCTCTCGTTCTCTCACCAAAGGCGCAGGCAAAGAGCTGACTGAAAATTCTTGACACGCGCGAGTGAAGTGTTACTCTCGGTGGCATAATTATAAAGTTACGCATGCGACACTCGTACGTGCCGGACCGAGATAGCACGTGCTCTGTGAAATGCGCAACTGATGTTAAACTCGCCAGTATTGAATTTACGTCGCGCGCGGATTAAGAGAAATGCTTCCCCGTTCGTGTGGAATCGTTAGGGGTAAGCTCGATGAGCATGATGAATTTTTCAGTGATGAGTGCTCGACGTTAATTACCGATCTATGTATTAACACATATTCGTTACCAGCATCACACGTGTGTGATGCACCGATCTTTCACTTCAAGCTCATTTTTACTTAAATTTTGCAACTCTAATATGTTCGTTAATCGATGTCACGTGTGATATATATGTCACGTATGACAGAAATAATTTTTCTCTTGACTAAGTGAAGTGATAACTACTACCACCTTGAATATGTTGGAAATATAGGAGTGGGAGAAAAATTTATCTACCAGAAATATTGCATCGATACCATTGATCATCACTTCGAACGTCTTCTATTAATGTAAACTTTTCTTATATTTATCTAGTCGTTAATAAAATATTTTTCAATAAAATGTTTAAGTTAAAAATTTAGACTTCTCTATGTGGAGAAATGCCTAATTCGGGTTTCGAGTTATTTCCACGTCCTTCCTAGATTGTTGTATAAGCCTCGAAAAGGCGCTAAAAGGCTTTCAAGATATACAATCAGTCAAAAATAAAGAAGGTATATAAGAGCCGGCGCAAGTGAACGTTTACGAACAAAAATAATAATAATTAAAAATTAAAATACAAAAATATCTTCTAACGTTTCGGTCGTAGATTCTGACCTATTTAATGAATCACATAAAATATTTTTATTTTCCGAAAATATTCAAGATCGTAATTGGTATCGCCTCATCTACATATCTACATAAACAAGCTAAATTTGTTTTACTTTAAAATATATACTATAAAAATATACTATAAAATATATATATATATATATATAAATAAAAAATAATATATGTTATGCATCAATATATATAACATATATAAATAAATTATATATACTATAAAAATATATATTATAAAAAACTGTGTGATACAACGTGGCTTGCGAGAAGAATTTTCTTAAATTAATTGAGGTAGTGAACGTGTTACTGTGCGAATTAACTAGTGCAGGGATGTCGGTGTTTTATTTACAACAGTCCCGTGTCAATTTTGATATAGGAAAAGAGCAAGAAGACGTACCTGAGGACTCCGCTAGCGATTCCGCAGGACTGCACGCATTCGTCGCGCGATCTTGCGTTCGCGCACGAGTGCACCTCTTTCTGAGTCGGCTTGCAGGTGTTGGTCTTCGACTGCGGCACGTCGATCAGATTCACTTGCAGCATCCACGCGGCGCGTTGCTCCTCGCCCCATTTTAATTTCAGTCTGGTGAGCAAGCCGATACACCGTGTGACGCTCGCGCGACAAGAAAATTCGCCCCGTGCACGGGCGAAGTGTCGATACGCGTCCAGCTAGTTGGCGTGATCGAGACAGTAGTCTCGTCGCGCCGCTGGTCTTCGGAAATTCGAGCTTAATACGCGAGAGTAACTCGATGTCGTCAGTGAAAGGTTCACAGTAAATGGACTTGTCATTGTTTCCAATCGCGACCGTCTTTTACGCGTCTGTCTCGAATACCTTAACTCATTGATCGCCACGCAAATTTCCATAGAATGTTCCCAAGCTTGCTCTCTGAATTTCTTCGAGTGACATTTCACTCGAGAAGTAGACTGACAGCCGGGTCTTTCAAAGTAACGGTGGCTTTTCACTCATATATAGTGCCCTCTTACATTCTGAATCGTCAAGTGAATAATTTTAACAAATAAAATATGCTAATGAAATATCAAGAATCCTCTCACTCTCTGCGATTTGAATTAGACATTCGCTCTGTAACTCCAAGCGGCACAGTATTTTCACCGTTGCTTAATAATAATTAACATATATGTTTTTCACTCCTTTAGCGTGAAATTTCACTCCAAGAAATTCAGAGAGTAACTAATATTAATATTCGAGTAACCAAAGTTATGATAAGTATATGCATTCGGTGAAGTATATATTTGTTAGTCATAGATTTATCAGTGTTGTCTGCTTTTAACTCAACTCGTTTCAAAAAATTACGTTTCATGCGTAAATTGATAAGACGCGGCAAACTTATATCCGCGCCGGCAAGATCAAACTATGCCGGTCACCCGTGACCCTCCAGGACAGTTAATGTAGTGTGAATCTAAAGTGGGATAGGAGAGGTTCCAAAAGAACATTCACTCGAATCGTAGTACGGAGGAAAAATCAAAGAGAAGCGTTTAATCGTGGTTATCGTACACACTTCTTTGCTCATGCACCGTGCCTCAACTCTCCCTTTCTTAGCGTCGTTTGCGTTCGCGCTCGCTTATTTTTTTCCCGACCTCCACCGAAACTTACCGACATGTCACTACTGCTACTACTATAACGCCACAGTGTTCCCGCGTCTTAACTATATAATTAGGGACGGATGAAGGATATAAAAGAAAACTTAACATCTAATTAATTCTACGTTAATAATCAATTTGTTCTTTCGAAAATATCCATCGGAGGAGATTCACGTTTGGAGATTTCACTCTCTTATTTGAGCATATTCGAATATGCATATATTCATATCTATACCTATATAGTCATATCGTAACTTTCTTACATTAGAAATCTTAGTCGATCGAGGATATTTTAATTTCGCTCACGCTTTCCATACCAACGAACACCGAATATACACAGCTCGCGAAAAGAATATCTACGCGACGATAATAACGCTTCACTCTTCCCACAGTGAAACGTCTCGATCTGATTACCGAAAATAATTCAGTCTCGCGCGACGCCGGACTATTCGCGAAAGCGAAAGGCGAGGAGAATTTTTGGTTACGTTGAATTTTTACTTACGAGATGGTGGCGGCGGGCTCAGAGCGCAACATTGTATCGTTCGACACGTAGACGATGCCGCTCCGCTGGGTGACGTTGAAGGCGTCCGAGCCGTAGAGGACAAAAGTGCGCGGGGATGTCGGCTTCACGGCTGGCTCCGTCACGCGAAAGTATCTAGGGGAGGTCCGCGCGATCTCGACGCTCTCCGGAAATGATACCGGCTGCTGCATCGTCGGGACTGAGGACTTCGTGATCGTGGAAGTCCAGTGCACCGGGCCCGTGAACGTCAAATTGGCGTCCGCCTGAGGAAACGAGAAATGCGGATTGCGATCAGAGTTTAGTTCGAGCCGGCTTCGGAAGAAGCCCCACTTCCCAAGGGATTGAATCTGGGAAAATTGGGAAAATTGATCCATACGTTTTCCGCGATCAATCACTGCTTCACCTTAATTATTATTTAAGCAACGACCAAGCTATTTATTACATTATTGCTCACCCAAGCGTGCCCCGCGTAGGCGTGAGCGCTTTTTATGACGCCGTTATTCGTATATCGATCCTCTTCGACGTCGTCCGGAGGGTGAATGAGAAGGGACTTGTAGCTCGTAGGAAGTTACACGATGATTAATGGTGCGAGGATTGATTCTCGGTTAAAATAGGCGTTGAAGAGGGCCAAAGGAATATATCTTTACTGTGAAAATCGACTTTTCGTTTTTTCAAACTGTCGATATGATTTTTCAGGATAATTTTTCACAATACAATACTATCATGTTAGTTCTTTCCCCGCCTTTCATGTTATATATTTCCCCGCTCTTGATATCCTTATAATAATTCTCGATCATCTTGTAATGATTTAAGATTACTTCTCTCAAAGTGCGTGAAATCTCTCAAAAGTTTTCTAACATATTCAAAAGCGATTAACGAGTCGTCGTTCGAGGACGATTTGTTGGTAAAGACCTCGCGAGAGAACGTAGAAGAAAGTCTGTCACCGCGGAAGATCGATATTAAAGGCCACTACGATTGCTACGTGACGCTCTTTATTAGAATTTATCGTCCATTCCTGATACACCCATGGAACGAGAACGTGGAGAGGAAAGTCCTCGGCACTTAAGCGCATCCGATCTTTCTTCGAGCGGCGTGCAAGGACTACGAATAAATCCATATCTCAACTTACTAATAACCTGACTGTGTCTTTGCATCGTGGCGTTTCACCGCAAAAATTCTTCCCTAAAGCTAAATTATCCTCGATTCAATAACGCCAACAAATAACCCGGTAAGCAAGAATCATTACACCAATATCTGGAAATATTGCTTTAGTATGTGTCTCGAAATGTTTTTACTGATTTTTTTTACAAATATTTCACAAACATTATCCGATAATGTAGTCTCGAGTGTCGTGAAATTATTTAAAAAATATATTGCGCAATTGTGTTCGCGATAATGTTGATACATATTTGCGAAAATAGATAATTGAATTTATACAGACCGGAAAAACGTGTTATGAATAATTTTTCGCCCGCTGAAAAGTCAGCAAACCTTTTTGCCTGGAAAGAAACGAGCAAGGGGAGAGACTGCAATGAATTGAAGGCCATGGGACGCAATAACTTGCAACTTCCTACTCAACTAGGAGGGTCTGCAGGCGTGCGTTTCACCGGCTAAAGATACTCATTTGAGCTCCGAGGTGTCGCGTCGCGGGGAGTAAAACGAGATCGAGCCACCGATATCTAAGACCCGGTCCAGTTTAAGGGTCACGCGATATATCAGGAATAGGTCGCCGTGGATATCGCCGTCCAGATTTATTTTGCTCGCGCGGGTTCAATTTGAGCGCGTAGTCGCGATGGTGCGCGGATGATGTAGGGTATCCATTAAAGGTGCACGAGAGAGCGCGGTCGGATCGTTGCTGTATACGTGGTATCGTCGCGCCTCGAATTAGAACGAACGAACAAACGCCCGATTATCATCGCATGTCGCATCACGATCATTATCCCTTTTATCCAATTATACATCCGTTTCGAATGTCGCGGCTCGTGCGACGGCTTACGCGTAAAACATACGACGTTTAATATCGCGAGGTATTCACAGAGTATTTTGCCTCTCCATCGTTCCGCAGCGGAAGCAAAGGACCTGTTTTTGCGACAATTCGCTCGCGCGTTAATTTTTTAGCAATCCCCGGCAACATATTCTCGCGCGATGCGCGCGCATTAAAATCTCACGAGCGAGTCGATCGTTATCGGAAATATTCGATAAAGCGAGAAAGTACTTTTAAATGCTTCGACATAGTTGAGCTTCTCGCTCATTTTCTCTCCCTTTCTCTCTCACTCTCCGCTTTGACACTAATTATTTCATATTCCACATGAAACCGATATAAATCCCAGCGATATGATTAAACATTCCTGTCGCGAGAACCGACCAGCGTGATATTTCGAAATTGCATTCTGCGGCGATGCGTTTATTCATGCATATTGCGCTCCGCGAACCACCGTTTCTGTGATGATTCTTTGAAAATCTGACTGAACGTTTGCCGCTGGCTCGAATATTTCGCCCGGCGGTCTTTTTCTATGGGAGGAAATTTTGGGAGAAGAAACGTTGCTGCAGCCGCGTTTAATGACGTCCGCGGTATTCCGAACGAAGCTCAGCAATAAGCGACTTACGCCCACGCGCCATTTTCACGTCGGGCTATTAATCCGCGATTAGCCGCCTCCGCGAAATCAATGCCACACCCAAGGAGCCTAACAAGGCGGGATTTCACCACCTAATTGTTTAATGACCTCCGATTATACTGCGAAGCCGGGATCACGGATACTAGGCACGGCTAATAACGACTAATGAGCTCTTATCTTTCGACTTTCTCGATACAAATCGAGCTCGATGTCGCTTCGCACGGATGAGAGCTGGTGAGTTGGAATGTAAACGAAAGTAGATTTGCACCTAAAAGAGCGTTTGTCGAAAACGCGAATACGTACCTTCGGCAATGCGTCGGGAAATACGCGTTTAATCCATAAAGGAGCGCGAGTAAATGAAAAGTGAGCAATTATCGATAGGTTCTACATCTTTCTTTGATCGAAACGAGCGAACTCGGAATCCACGATTGGTATCATTGCTTCGTTACATCGTAATATTTGTTGTGATATATTCGTGAATATTTATATGTCGTGACAACGAGTAATTCTAGACTCTCGGCGAGCAAGTGGACACGCAAAGTCCCGAAAAACGTACCGCATTGCAAAATTCAGAGTAATGTTATGAAAAAATACAGTCCTGAAATCTGAATCCTGAAATGCAACTTTCCCGAGACGTTGAAATTTTACATATTCGTAAAATTTCGTGTTCTTAAATATTTCAATACGAAGAAAAAGGAAAATGCAAGATTCAAGTAAATAATTTTACTCCAATATTCTTTAGTAAATTTTTACTTGGATCAAGTAATATTTATTTGATCCAAGCGAAATATTTTGCAAGTAAATTATCCAAATAAAATATTTAATTGAATTCAAATAAAGAAGCACCCTCAAATCAGAGCAAATATTTTCTTTTCTGTTAAATTCCAATTTCATTTTCTCCTTATATCTCCTGATTGTGAGATAGTACTGTTTCAAGACATTGCATACTTCACAATGTTCCAGAGATATGTATTTCAGGATGTCTCGTGACTCAAATTTCAAAATGATTTTTCAAGACACTTTGCATGTTCATCGACGGCGATCACGCTCATCGGCGCGATTTATATTCACTGCGAGCGGACGGAAACGCGAAATTGGCCCCTGATGGGAGAGAGTTCGTTCTCCCTGAGTGATCTCGGCTGGTAAAAGATCTTACTTTCTCTCTCACTCTCTTTTTATGACAGAACGGATATCTTATACATACACTTCTCGTATATTGGCGGGAGCGATCCCTTCGAGTTATGGGATCAGCATGGCGTACTTTCGCCCGAGTTTCAGCCGCGCCGTTCGCAAATGACACACGGCGGTGAGATATCGAGGGAGGGGAGGGGGGTTCCTGTCGATATCGCAGAATTTATTGCGGACGTGAACTTTTTTGATCAGACAACAGATTTCTAGCGGGACGACGGCAGCAGCAGCACGCTGCGTGCTCTTTGTTCATTTCGACGAATGGCCAGTGCATTACGAGGAGTTCCGATCTGACTGTACGATGCATTAATCAATTTTCCACATGAAGTCGTAATGCTCAATCGAAAACGTAAATTATTTCTTTTGTGCAATTTCGAGACGAAAATCATGGTTCGCGTCCTGCGATTATTGCGATTAAAAGAAAACCTGACTTTTCAAGAATTTCAACTTAACAACAACTCTTTAATTTAAATTTTTGCAGCAATTTTAATCCAAATTATTATTATACGTTTCAGTTATTTGCTGGTACGATCGAGTTGAGTATAAAGTAAGTTTCGCAAACTATGCACGATAGGAAAACTATAAGTATCAAGTGGAAACTCTTAATCCCCGACGTGCAGGAAGGAACCGGAGGAGCTCGGCTGGCACACCACAACGTGATCCCCCGTTCGACCAAAGTCAAGTTGCTCGAACAGTGTCCTTTCTTGGACACATTGCAAATGGAGCGAATGTTTCAAGTGTAATCAGCGAGCGACCTGTCCACGACGTTAGAATCGATAGACCGATAGACTTACCCAATTCGGCCCGTGCTGCGGGAGAAGTGACTCGTCGATGGCCCGTAGAGTCACACTGTATGGCGACTTCGGCAGCAGCGTTTTCGCAGCGCGGATGCCTGGAAAATTACGGGATACGAATTTCACGAGCGCGCGCGACGAGACACGAGGAAAACGGCAAGGAAAGGAATGAGGCTACTCACGGATAATAATACAGGTGGAAGGTGCATTGTTCGGTCGCGTGTAATGTTCAACCGGCAGGATGTCGTAACTGATGTTGAAGGCGTTGAAGGTGTCCTCGAGCAGGCGGAAGCTGTAGTGGTTGGTAGTCACCGCGTCTGCGTCCGTCACGATCAAGTTGTCGACCAATATATTGTCCTGTTGAAGATATTTACATCTATGTGCGTCTTATTCTAAAAATTTTTTTCAGTTTAATCTCACTCGAAGCGATGATGAAAATTCTAAAGCTCGAAATGACAAAAGTGAACGTTTGACTTAGAGTTTAAATGAATTCTCCCATACGAGTGAATGTTTTCAATTGATTGGGGCGAATTCATTCTTTTGAAAGTGGAATGCAACCAATATCGAATGAAAATATTTATTCGACGATTCAGAATGAGGAATTTACTTTACGAGAGTGAAAAGCCGAATTCGAGCTGTCATTTTACTTTTCAGAGTGGGATTTCACTTGAAGAAATTGAAGGAGCATCAGGACAATAAAAGTTTTATGCTTTTTCTTCTTTCTTTTGTATAAATATGTTTGTTTAATTATCGGAGTTTGTGTTGTCACTTCGAGAAAGACGCTGCGGGGCGATATTTTCTGGCGTGATTAGTTCCTGCCGAGAGGAGGATAAAACAGATGGAAGGGTCATCAGATTGCCCGCGGAGGTGATAGTTTCGAGTATTTCCACCGCGCTCTGCACTTCGCGAATCAATGCGACGGCAGATTCCGATTAACCGATCGCAACCTAAAACTTCGCCCATTAAAGTCTCCGACTTTCGCGAAAGCTCCTCAGATGTCTCGGACTTAACAATGTAATCTCATTCTTCATGGAAGCGAGAGTACGAACGATGAAAAATAACGACGGGGAGGAAAAGAAAGAAAAAAGACATTTGGCGACGAGCGCAAAGCGGGGGAAGGAAGTTCGGCGCATGTCGGAAAACGAGGCACCCCCGGGGGTTTAATCAGGATTAGTCGCGGAAGCTCTTCCTCTCGTCTCGTCTCCCGGTATCCTTCGTCGCGCGAGCGTGTCTTTTGTGGTTGCCTCGTCACGCCTTCCTTTTTATTATCACCGGTGCACCGTTCAAAACAGCAACGCCGGTAATTACGCAAACAATGAGCGCGTGATTAAGTCGTCTCGCTTCCGGTGCGACGTGCGTTGAAAAACGAGATTCATCCGCGGAAAAACGCCCTGAAATTTGCCGAATAGAACGCTCCAGGTGGAGCAAAGGACGACGCGTCGGGTGAAGGAATATGGACGCGCAGGGTAGAATTATCTGACACGCGTCAAACGCAACGCAGTTCGCCGTCGCATCGTGCGAACAGACGTTCTCTTCGACCGAACGATTCTGCTTCGCTTCAACTTTTATTCCTATTTTTATGAAGGATCGACGTTAATATCACGTTGATTTAGAAGACTCCTGCCGTAGAACACTCCTTTTATTCGTTGATATATCACTATTTGAAAAGAAATATTTAGTTGAAATAAAATATTCGCGAAACGTTAAAAACGAATTTACAAGAAACGTGCTCTAGGAATCAAATCAGCATTTTTCAATATTGCTAATGCGATGTATCATTGAATATCGATGCTTCGTTCATACACGGGAAAAAAATGTTGAGTTAATAGAATTCCCAACAGTACATATGATTGGAGCGGGTCTTCTTGATGCGAGATCATTGAAATTATTCAATTTAACATTGGACTAATACTTTAACTGTTGAAACAGTATATAACATAGTAGTTTTAATAATATTTGCCATTGAATCAAGGAGATTTACTCCAATCGCGCTGCTGTCGAAAATTTTATTAATTCAACAGAATTCTCCTTCCGTGTATAAAACACCTGTTCGGTGTATGGGGAAAGACTTTTAAATTAACCTAATATTTCCGCAAATTCTTCCGTCTATCATCATCCCATAAGCGAGAACGATCCGCTCGAGAATCGATTTTCGTTCAAACAATTTAATGTCGGTTTACAAGTGCGTGGACTGTGGAGTAAAGATACGTTACAGGTCAATGAAGCACTTACGGTCCCGCGACGGCGGACTCTTGACTTCGATTCACCATCGGGAAGTTAACTGACTTCGAACTACTCGAGCGAGAACAACGGGCGTTAACTTAATAGTCTCGGTGCAATCTCGATCATTCGACGATAGCCCGGCAAATCGATGTACTCACCACGGTGAAGTCCCGGAGCGCTTTGGCGATGGAGCTATTGCCCTGCACGAATGGAGGATTGTCATCCTGATCCAGAATGTCGATGGTGATGACGTTCTTCTGTATGTACTGTCGGCCGCTCGATTCCCAAACGACACAATTCACCCCGACCTTCACGCGAGGCCCGGGCCCCTCGGGTGGAGGGCCCAGAACGTCCCTGTCCAAGGACATGTTCGCGAACAACATGCCGTCGACGGTGTGAAAATAGTTGGTTCCTGGAAAACGAGAACGGATCTTCCCCCGTTATTCCCGCGACATCGGTCATTTTTAACGTCGGTATTCGACGCGATGTGACGGAAAATCGCTCGCGGAAAATTGAACCGTAACAGCCCGAGTCTGTATATCACCGGCATTGATTAACATAATCGAAAAAGTTCCCGGAAGGACGGATCCGCGATCTGGAATCTGGCGGAGAAACGCTCGGTCGGAATTCTTCACAACACGTTGAACTCGCACGGGAGGAAACATTTTAACATCATTTTTGCGAACAAATATCGCTTCGTTGTTATCTAGAGGAATTTAATAAACGTGATCCGTTATTTTTGCAACTAACGATTCTCACCGTTGAAACGCTGCGTGTGTGAAATATAGCGGGCGTAATATTTTCCGATAGCTGGCTTTTCAATTGTGTTCAACGGTGGAAAAATGAAATTTGAAGCGCCGCGGAGGAGCGATTCCAGGGATTTGATGTATGGTGACCTGTCGCACAAAGGGCCGTGGGTTGTACGTATTATGTCACGAACGGTAACGATGTCCTCGGCGAATTTTAATGACGACAGATCTCTTTCTCTCGCAGCAATCCGCACAGCTTTTCGGCGTTGCGCGCTCGCCGCGCGCAGGTGGATACGACGATAAATTTATTCGTATTTTACGTCGAACGAATCCGATCAATCACCGCTTTCGTTGCTCGCCCGGGTTTCGTCAGTGAAAAATGCTCGATCTTCAAACGTAGAGATTTATGTCTTGCAAACAGAAACGCGACGACGACTCGACGAAGGTCACCGGAGCGACGATTCATCAACGAAAACGAATCTCGCGAGGAGCATTCGATAACGCAGGAGAGACTTTATTTGTTAAACCTTGAAACTCCCGCGAGTTCATTTCGCGTTTTACGTTAGACGCTTCAACGAATCTTCGGAAAGTTTCAAGCCGAGAAGCCGGTTTTGCAATCCGGATCGTCGATCATAGTCGAGACAGCGTGTGAAGTAATTTAAAAATTGCCTACACATAGTTACTGCAAACGTGAGAAAATTACGCGGGAAACGAAAGAAGATGAAGATGTTAACGGAGATACTTGCCATTCACTAATTCATATCTGGTGACGTTGAATTCAGGGCACACGTAGCTGTACGCCTTCGGGCCAAACATGCCAATCATGGTGACTGGTTGATTCTCGTAAATCTTGTATATGGACGTGTTCCAAAAGCACATGTCCTGCAACACCGAAAACCTTGTGGACTGACGCACACCTCGAGTAAAATATGTCACAACGTGTTAAACCGTTGATGATATCCACCGAAGAATCAAAGTGATTTCCATAATCTCTCTCTTTCATCATGACATCCCGGGATCCGATATTTCCGAATTATATTGCGATACATTTTATAGTGAAATCTTTCGATCGTCCGGACCGATTTTCGATATCGCGTAATATGAATTTTTATTTTTTTTTCACCGTCACTCTGTACCTTTATTTTTACAATAATATTTAATTGATATTTTTATAGAATTTATCCTAGAGCATGATAAAGCAGATTCTATTTTATTCTACAGAGAAAAAGTCCGAAATTCAATTAAATAATTACTCCAATATGCCTTAGCAAATTTTTACTTGGATCAAGTAATACTTGCCTTGATATATAAGTAAAATATTTTCAAAATAAATTATTCAAATAAAATACATATATTTACTTGATCCAGAATTTATTTAAACCAAATAAAAGTTTGCTAAGGAATATTGGAGTAATCGTTTACTTGAATCTAGCACACTTTCTGTGTATTCCATCTCACATGCAATATTCGGGAAAGAGCTGAAATTTGACGCGCGACGGCTTACCTGCAAAAAGTCCGTACAATTGATGGCTTCCGCCTTCGTTGCTACTGGTTGCACTTGTATTTCGAGCACCGCTTTGCCGAAACCCTCCTCGCTCGCCTCGACGATGACAGTGCCGACGTCTTGTGGAAAAACAACGCAGCGACGTAGAAAAATATAATGTTCTCGACCAAAACTGCTCATTATGCTCTGCGATATTATCGCGTTGCAACACGACGAGATTCTCGTCGGCTCCGTTAATAAAAATACCCACCATTCTTCGGAAGACTCCGCAGCAGAATATTGCTGTTTTTCTGGTAGATCGCGAAATCCCGCGGCTCTGTGGAGAGCTGGTACTTCGCGTTTTTCGGTATCGTGGAGTCGTTACGAAGGGTCCTCAGGTCGATCAATTTGATCTCCGGCAAGTCTCCCGGGCCGTTTCGCGCCAAGTACGGCAGCCTCAGAGTCAGATTCGATTGCGGGAAGTAGAGACCTGGAACGAAGAGAGGGAGGGATGTTCATTCTTTCGCTCGACCTTCTTATCGGCTCTACCTCGATAATTTTTCTCAGAGAAAATTTTCGGATCGCCCCTTAGGCTGACAATCGGATATCGTTTCTGAAAGTTGTCTCGTGCCCGAAAACAATAGCTCCTCGGCTCGTAAATCCTCCGTGAAACGAACGACCCGAGCGCTTAATCGCCGGAAGCGTGGCCGAATTTCGGAAAGCCGCGAGCGAGGCGAGGGTGGCGGTTTAGCGCCGGTGTATACGTTCCGATTTTACATCCGATCGAATTCACTGGCGATTTCGCCGGTAGTACTCGTTGCGCGAATTTTTGGCGAGCGAAAATCCCGCGGCTGTTTGTCGTTTCCACCGCTCAGAAAATTGACATAGCGCTGCCCGTGACAGTAGCAGCGAAACAGAAGTAAAAACGGCGCTTCCGCCATTAAAACGTCAGTTCCAACGCGATGATAACTTCGGTGGAGGTTTTTATTAGGTCTCGTAAAGTCTCGTAAAGTCTCGCTCCAGAAATAAGCTCGCTGATTCTCCTTTTTGTCACACGCTAAATCGCCGTTTAAAAGTCCGTCTCTCCCTCCCTTTCTCGGTAAACGTCTCTATTATAAAAATATTTGCCGCGAGAATGCTGCTCGCGAGCGCGCAGCCGAGCGCACTTAATGTCAAATGCACGGCAACATATGCGAGAAGAAATGCTAAAGCGCAATCCTCCGTCCCCGTCACCCTCCTCTCTTCGTATCGGCCGGGGAATGTAAATGCAACGGTGTCGCGCGACACCTTGCGTCGCCTTTAAATAAATGTAGCCCGTCGTCTATTAGAATCGGGATTCAATTTCGGTTTGGAACGCAAGCAAACACGGGCTTCGTGCCCCCGCGAGAAGTCCAGCCCGGACGCATATTTCATCCCCGCGCGAGGGGATGAATTAGCATCTATCGCGGAATGCGAGCGCTCGAGCAACAGTTTTTCGTCGCGGCGACGGTCGAAAGATCGCAATTTCCCGGAATAGAGAAGAGTTCCCACGGACGGTGTCTTTTCTCTCTTTCTCCCTCATTCGCGATGCTGGAAGGATCCTTTCCGCAGGCTTCGCTTCCGCATAAAGACTGCCGTATGCACATGCAGTCGCTCCTGCGTCCTCTAAACGGCCAGAGCGTGTTCAGCCGGCGGAATGCGCCACGCCTGAATAAAATATGCCGCTAGACGATCTAAAAGCCGTCTGGAGCAGCGCATACGATCCGATATACACGTTGAAGCCGGTTGTCCGATGTCTCTCCCGTGTGTCGAGAGCTTACACCGAACACCGCGCCCCCGAGATCGCCATGTCCGAAGATTGAATTATGTCGCGGCGGCCGACTACCTTCTCTCTCTCTCTCTCTGTCATACGTCATAAATTATAGAACGATAAACGCCGCGACGGGAAAAACGCGCTCCCCACCGTGCGCAATTTCAGAGCACGAGACACCGAAGAAGCGTATGGCGACGAGATAGAAGCGGTTTGTTTCGGAAGCGAGATGTAAGTCCAATCTTGGGACGTATAAATTTCAATGGGATGAGAATACGCGATAGAGTGGTGTACCGCTTTTGGCGAGGATCTTCAAAATTGATTCTGTATAAAAAACAATATTCATGGAATAAATATAAATATGCATCGCGGAATAAATATGATTGTTTTTTTGTACTTCGTAATATCACCGGTTTAAAAAAGTTTGTTGAATTTTCAGCTGTATCTCTATATTTATCTATTATGTATTTTATTAATAACAACGAAATAATACATGCATGTAGTACCTACTACACGATAAAACATTTTACGTCAAAAACGGTCAACCAAAATTGTTATATTACTTTAACATTACTTTAATATGTTAAAAAGTATATAAATATATGTTGGATTAATGTATTTATCTTGTTATAATACATATTATTTTTTATCATATTCACCTTATTACACCGAAATTTAGGACCGTGTGTAAATTTTGCCACTTTTCAAATAATTTTCCGATTTCGCATCTCTAGGATGACTCATCTTCTAAACCAATGAGATCATCGACGATCTGATAAATTTCTATGCAAGTGCCTGACATATAAAAATATGTGTCAAATGTATATACACACCTACGAGATAAATATTAGTTTGTCACGCTAATTTTATAACAAGATCCTTCAGGACAAACGAGATAATCATATAATAGCTCCAATTCTATAATGGGTGTCGGAAAAGTATTTCGGTCCGGTATCAAGAGTCGTTGACGTCATGCGAGTCCCACGAAAGGATCTGGCTGTGGTTCTTATGGGGTGGACGGGTTCCTTATTCGACGAACGTTTCCAATTTCGACCGGAATGGACACTCGACGATACTCGGTATATCCGAAGATAGAGTCTCGGTATCGACTCGATCGCGCCCAGACTGTTCCGATGCTCGCCTACGCGTAGTATTACTCCCGCAAGTGCAGCCGTCAAGGACGATCAAAGGATTCGAGAAATACGTCGTCGTCGGGGCCTTAACAATTTTACAGCGACGCTAACAGTGTTTCATAATCCGAAAGCCTGGGCGCTCGGCTTTCGGCTTAATCTTCGCGAAGTGCTTCCTGCGAGGTCGCGTTAAATGCTGAAGCAACGATCCGATTGCCCGACGCGGATAGATGACCAACAACGATGGCGGCGGCGTCTAATTTCGGTATTTACGCGAAGGTTCAATGTCGAGAGAACGAGGAGAGGCGTGTTACAACACCGAGGCCGAGCTTCTCTCCCTCGGAACCTTCGCGTGCGTCTGCGGAGGAACGAAGCAACGAACGAGCGTACGAACGAACGTAGCTCCCGGTGTCAAGGTGAGCGTGCAATCAATATACGCCGGGCGGCTGTTAATTTTAATCCATGGATCGCGTGTGCGGCCTGATACAGACAGAACGATTACGAACGCTTTTACGAGAGGCCGCCCCTCCTACGCGAGTTCCTCGACACACAACCCCGAAAAGCTCCACTCGCGCGTATACGCAGGTGTACAGGGTGTCCCGGAAGCTACGATCTTTTCGACGAACTTTGGCGCGTTGATTAACTTCCGACGACTAACCACCTTCGAATGAATTTTTCTCTCCTGCCGATCAATATCTTCGCTCGTGTCGAGATAATCGACGTGTCTGTATTCAAATGCTAATTTCGTGTAAGAAATGTACACTCGCGTGTGGATCACCGTGTGCTCGAGCGTGCTGTCTTCTCTCGGCTACATCAGCGCCGATGAGGAGGCGTATTCAGCATGGGTCCTTAATTAGAATAGCAATTTTCTACCTCCATATGTCGGAGCGAGAACAATTAATTCCGCGGCTCGAGAGTAAAAGAACGGAGTGTTCCGTCCTCGCACGGCACGTTTTTCTCGTTCCCGCTCTGAGACGTAGGACGAAATTGCCTGGTCTATCTTCCGAGCTGCCCGGATTTCGTAAAACCCGAACATTATTAACTCATTAGCGGCCAGTGTCCCACTAATGAGATGCTTCTTTTTTATCGGCTGAAATCACTTGATTAATTTAGAATTGTATTTTTAACGTTCCAAGCAATTCCCAGTTGTGTATCTACGCTTTCGATAAAAATAATTCTTAATACTAATCCAAGAGCCTTCCAGGAAATAAAGTAGTTTCTTCGGAAGACTTATCCTTTAATTAAAAATGTTCGTGAAATAATATCACGGTCTTTAATGGGTTAAGAATTCGACGCGCGTTGGTGATTCTATATGTGCGACTCATTCATCGAAACTTTACGATACGTACTTGCGCACTCTTAGTCGCTGAACAAATGCAATTTTATTGCGAAACCGCGCGCAAGTCTTGCTGGCATATGCATTCCGGTGCAACCGTGCGTATCCGAGACGCGATCGACCGTGGGGGAGTTCTTCGCATGTTAAGCGGAGTAGCGTTTACATATTCAAGAGCGGATAACGCCACGAAGGCAGATACGTCTCGCAGACGTCTCTCTCTCCTTCTCTCTGTCCTTTCATATAATTAAATTCTTGGCGCCAGTATTAGGCCCGGTGTCATTAGAATACTTGGATCCTCGAGACAAAATATTGCCCGAAATCCTCCGCTTTAATATAAAACTGTCACCTCACATCCCTCTTTCTCTTTCTGCATATGTATATTTTTTTGTATCATTATATAGAGAAGAAAGTATTATGACTTCCATTTATATTTTATTAATATAATTAATATTAAAAAATGAAAACTTAATTATATTCGTCAAATATATTATTCTCAATCGATCTTAGACTCAATGTTATGAAATATTTATTATTTTAGACATTATTTATAAAAATGTGACAACACTACATAATGATATCGCACAACTATATAATGGGTCGAAGAGAAACCATAATATCTACAGGGACTATAATACTATCTTCTCTTCTATATGTATATTTTTTTACTTTTATTTTTATCTTTGTTTTTGTTTCCTATGTAATTCTCTTCACACCTTTTTTTCTCTGTGACACTCTTAGAGATTTAGCTCTAGAGTGTAAATAAACACACTTAACTCTCTATCTCTCGGGACAAAAATATCAACGCTGCAATATCAAAAGAGTAACGAGCTAATAATACGACAATGAAGAGCGAAAGTCATCGTGCAGTCAGTATCGATCCAACGTACGTTCATCGTCATCCGCTTCCAAGCTCTCGGAAAGCTTCAGACGCGGCTCGCGTGAACCGAACTTCGCCGAGGATTCCGGTCGGTGGTGATGCGATGGATGGATTCGATTTGCGTTTATGCGGGTCGTAAATCAACGGATCTTGGGGGCATCGCTTGGTCAAATAAGCTCCTTTGATGAATGTCCATTAATAACCGGACGCGGTCGTAAGTATATATAACGTCGCATCCGACTCGCGTTTCGCCCCGACGGCGATCGCCTCGTGACAGGTTGTAATCGTGCGAGTGGGTATCACGAACTCAGCGCGCCACATTTCTCCTTGTCTTTTCGATCGGATCGATCGACTCGAC